GACATATCAGTCTCACGCGCGAACGCTTAACCTCTAGACTACTGAGTCAGTCGGCATCCAATGCTGTTAATGCCTAACTTCAACTAATCCACGAAATTAAGAGACATATCTACCATTGTTTTCAGTGAGTTACTATCTCACAACTAACCCAGTTGAACTCCACTGATCACTACTTTTCACTAGAACTCTAAGAAATACCTCTTGGAAACTGTCCACTAATGAGAATATAATGATTATAATCACACAGAGTAGTTATTTATTTATTTGAACACATAGAATTTGGTACAAGGAGGCATCAGATACATATGCGCCACACAAATCTCATTAGATTTGTGTAAGAGCTGTGATACTGCTCGGGTGCCCAGATCGAAGCAGGTGGTTTTCTTAGGGAGCCACACCCCGAGCCTTTGACCTAAACGTCTAACCCACAAGGCAGTGGATTAACGTTAGGAGATGCATTCCCATGGTAGCCGGTGACCAACGATTGGTTCATACGCCATTTGTTCCCGCAGGATACTGGGACCTATGTGCACTATTTGTTTAGGATCCGGTTAAAGTGCCGAACATTCGCTTTTCGTCCTCTCATTTCCGTAAACAACACCCTCTCTACGAGAAGGCAATGAGTAGGACTTCCCTGGTAGGGGCTATATACACATGACCGTGTGAGAGTATTTCAAGAGGGAGGGCGGGCCTACCCCACTCTCGGCCATACCAGCGTATTTGAGGGCAAGATATTAATAACTTCCAATTAGTATAGAATCTAGAATTAAGTAAAACTTTATTTAAATTATTTCATATCACTTCATTTCTACACTTTAGGATTTCTGCGGATATTGGTCATGTTTACAAATTATTGGACGAAATGATCGTTTCGCTTGTAAAAATGGTGAAATATGTCATATTATCTCATCAAATAGTTTGAATAATAATGATTGTTTTGTACCACCATGTTATTTACGTACAATTTGTTTAAATGCTAGTCAATCAATACAGGGACAATTAAAACAATTATTACCTAATTATTATTTTAAACAATCATTACCGGGTTGTCGACCAAATAGTTTTATATTAAATAATCATTGTGCTAGATTATTATTACATTTTTCTAAATTACGTATGTCTTATTCAACAACTATTGATGATATATGTAATGCTGTAAAAAATTTACCATCATTAAAAAAATATCATCACTATGGTAGTAGTAGTAGTAGTGGTGGTGGTGGTGGTGATGATGATGATGGGGGTCGTGGGAAATTGGATATCGGTATAAGTTGTGATATAAAAGCTGGTTATTCTATAGAACAACAAAATATAATAGAAGTAAGTTTAATTTTATTGGTATTTGATGTGAAATAAGTATTATTGAAGAAGATTATTTATCTTTATAGATATGCACCATATAAGGCACTTACTTTGTGTGCTGGTTGTGATACTGCCCGGGTTCTCAAACTGAAATAGGTGATTCTCTTAGGAGGTCACACTCGGAGCCCTCGACCACAAGGCAGTGGAGCAACGTCAGGAAATACAGACCCATGGTAGTTGTTGATCAACGATTGGTTCATACGTCATTTGTTCCTTCAAGATATTGGAGTCTATATGCACCATTAGTTTGGAATCAGGATTTTTCAACACCCCCTAGATGGACTCTCCGTATCCACCAACCCGATTAAAGCGCCAGATATTTGCTTTTCGTCCTCTTAATTTCGTAAACAACAGTAATGCCGCGAGAAGGCAGTGAGTAGGACCTTCCTAATAGTGGTTGTATGCACGTGATCATATGGAAGCTGACTCTCCTCACTCTCAACCGTACTAGGGCACTCGGGGGCATCTTTTAATCATATAACCTAAACTTGATTTTTTTATTCTTAAAAATGAAAGCATCATTAAAAAACAACGGAGGATTGAATATCTTTGGAAAACCTCGACAACACGTACATACATAATGACTCTAGACGGAATTAAGCCTAGGAGTGTCAATTCTCTTAGTGTAAGCATCATATATTTAGATCATAAACTTAAATTCAATAATTGATACACAGAGTGATTATTATTCAATATTATCCATAATATCTGCCCTGATTGTTCCCACAAAGTGGGGACAACCAAATGTATTTAAACACAATCTTACAGAATATATCAGTAAAATCTGAGAACCAAACAGTAAATTCTTTATTTGAAAAATGTCAATCAATCGTGTCAGACTTCATTGTTCCTTCATTTCCACACCACTCACTCTCTGTTCTCGTTCACTTCTCTTCGATCTTCTTAACTTTCTGGCATAAGGCACTTCACTTTCGATTGGTGATACATACTACTTATATCTATCGACATCAGTAGAATACATCAGACATTACATCAGTGATTTAGATAACGACAAGTTTTGGTGAAATGTTATTCACTACAAAACCGTAATTTCACTTGGCGTTGATTGCTGACACCAACAGTATTTTGTCTGCTTGGTTTGACAGAATGATTATTATAATTTATTGAGGTTTCTCCTCCTTTAGCTTCTATCTCTGTAGTGTCATGTTTTAGATTTACCAGGTGTTCACACTTTGTAGTAATCATTTGTAATGTCATTCCATTATCTTCAAAGGAGAATAGTAATCGTGTTCACACTTCAGTATCTGTGAGTAATTGTAGTCTAGAAAACAAATGATAAACATTTAAATTGATCATTTGATAATCCATTTAATTGAAAGCGATCCGCTTGTAGAATAATCGTGCTTGCGTATGCTAGATAATCTTTATCAACTTTGTTGGTTAACCGGAGGCATTTGTAACTCCTTTGTGTGATTTGACAGGATATCATTTTTTATATTTGTAGTATTCTTGTGGGTCAAGATTTTGTGTTGGCAGTCTTACCTTTGAACTACGCCAGTGGATACGGACAGTAATGTAAATGAACTACACTGTCTCAAAGAAATAAATATTGCACGAACCTACTCTGGTTATTAGCTACTACAGAATTGTATTCCCTGATGCGATTGTGTTGTCTAACGGACAGAAATTCAATGTTAAAGATTCGAGAGATAGCGGTAGGAAAACTGTTAGTTTCGGTTTGGATATAGTTCAGTGAACAAAATTATCAATCTTTGTATACACTATCGACATATTATCCAATACATTTCATGTTTATTCTTTTCCCATTACCTAAAACAAAGGTAACACTTAGTTCATTGAATGATCAAGTTCGAATTGGTCCAGATGGTAGAGAATATTCATTTATTCATGAATTAGCTAGAAATTTATCTAAAGAAGCTTATTTAGCTGCATCAACTAATTTAAAATTACGTAAAGATAATTTGAAACTATTCAATAGTGGAAGTGACATGAATTATGAGTTTGCCAATAATGACAGTAATCATGATGATGAGGATGATGATGATGAAGGCATACCGTTACCGCCGATGTCTATGATTTTAGGCACTGATCAATTAGATGATTATTGGCATAGAGTATTGCTTGGTATAGTCGAAATTCAAGTTGATACAATGGTTGTAAATGAAAAGGATTTTGGTAAGTTTAAATGTTATTAAACAGTAATTCAATTTAATAACTTTCAATCCCTTTGTTCTGCATGATTGTAATGCATATTAGTTGTCTGTTTACTTATTATTGTGATAGTTTGCTATGTACTACTTTATGACTGTGAAATATTCCCTTAGAAGGTGAAGAATACGAAGAGGTTGTAAGGTTTTTGAATATAGGTATCTTTGAATAATCACTCTCAGAATAGTGAAAACACAGGTTTGAGGTTACGTTTATGGTACTAGGCAAATTGGATTGGAATCTACATCGAATTTGGGGCATATAGTACATAATGTAAGTTTGATAAGTTTTATAAAATAATAGGACAAAACAAAAACGGCAGCGATTCATTACATGGATTTATTCTTACATCAACATGACATATATGTTCTTAAAAGAATATGATTATCGGTACGAATCAATCGTACTTGAAGAAAAGTTTCAGTCGTGATATTTTTATATCGTCAGTCAGTGATTTTGAAGGCTGTTAGAGGTAGGAGGTTAGTTATCACTTCCCGGTTGTCCACACCGTGTAAGGGTTCTTCTAGAGATACCTGAAAAAGAAATTGGGTTAAAATTCGTCTTAGTGACCTGAGAGCGTGACCGCAGTGCTCAATGGATAACTGCTTAAAGTCGTTCACACACATTTTTGTGTTAGCACCGTACTTGTTGGGACCTTACCACCGGAGACGGATATCCGTGGGATAAGGCGAGATGTACATTTTTAGGGTCGACCTTTTCTAACCTCACCCTTCCTTTGTGGGAAGGCAGTATCGCTGTTATGCTGGTTGTCTGAGGAAAACACCTCAGTGCCATCACACCTCTCTACAGTCAGCAGTACGACTTCGCCGTCAGACCTTGAGTTTGTTACTTTTAGTGTTACTGTTCTTCAACCGACCTGTCTGGCGTAGTAGAACCTTGAGAAACGATTGTTCCAGCCAGTATAGCTCGACCACCACATTAAGGTAGCAACAACGGCCGGGATTTTTATATTGTATTTCATTAATACGTTCTCAGATATAGTAGATCAATTCAGTGTTCAGCGATAGCTTCATAAACTAATAATATTTAAGATCACAAATGATTACATATTCCTCTCTCTCTCTCGTGTTTCATTTCAGGTCCACGTTTATTAGTTCCAATAGTATGTGCTACAATCTTAATTCTTGCATCAATATGTATCTTTATAATATGTTGTTATTCTCAAAGAAAACGTCGTGAACTTCTTATGAAATATACAACAACAATAGCACCTAATAATGAACAATCATCAAATTTAATACAAGATATATCAGAAAGTAATAATACAACAAATCATCATCATTTCAAGACTATAACACATCCAATCAATATAACACCGACTAATCAAAACTATACTTCATATTATCCATCACAATTATTATGTGAATCATCATTACAAACAAGACGATTTCTATCACCAGAATTTCATGGAAGACGACTATTAGTTCATAATGATAATAATAATAATGGTAATAAGAAGAATATCAATAGTCATATTCCACCAGGAATTTGTACAATCAATACAAATCGTGTAAATATGAATAAATCCAGTGGAACAGTTGTGATTTAAGTGTTACGTATATATATATAAATGAAGTTACTAAAAAGATTGAAGATGGGCTCAATGAGAGATTGAAGATTTCTTAACCGGGTTTCAAATGAAAATTACATCATACACTCTTAGTATTGATTTATAATGCATCGTTGTACAGATTATTTTAAAGAGTGAACCATTTCTTTTTCTGGTGAATTCTCTAATAAATGCACTTTGTAGTAAAAAAGATAATTAATCAAATATGATGTAGGATATGGCATGAATGTAACTTACTTACGTCTATTACTCCTCGTGGAGAAGCATAGGCCGCCTACCAGCATTTCTCATCTAAACCTGTCGTGGGCAATCCTTTCCAGCTCCTTCCAGTTCTTATTCATCCTTTTCACATCTGCTTATATTTCTTGACGTAATGTGTTCTTTGGCTTTCCTCTTTCCCGCTTTTCTTAACAATTCCAAGTTAGGGATGGCCTCGTGATGCAGTTTGGTGATTTCCGTAATGTTTGTCCTATCTACTTCTAACATCTTTTCTTCATTTTCTCTTCGGTTGGAAGCTGATTTGTTCTCTCCCACAGAAGGCTATTGCTGATGGTATCCGGCCAATGGATGTTGAGTATCTTGCGTAGACAACTATTCATAAATACTTGTACTGCTTCGATGATGGTTGTAGTAGTTCTCCAAGTTTCAGCTCCGAGCAGTAGAACTGCCTTGACATTCGTATTGAAGATTCTGACTTTGATTTTGGTTGAAAGTTGTTTTGAGTACCATATGTCTTTCAATTGTAGGAATGCGACCCTTGATTTGCCAATCCTCGCCTTTACTTCTGCATCTGATCCTCTTTGTCCATCAATGATGCTTCCTAGGTAAGTGGAGAATTTCACATCCTCCAGAGTTTCGCCATCAAGTATGATTGGGTTGATGTTCTCCATGTTGTATTTGAGGACCTTGGTTTTTCCCTTGTGTATGTTGAAACCTCATAATGCAGAGGCTACTGCTACACTATTTGTCTTCATCTGCATATGATAGCATCAATGTACGTTGACATAATTTGCTACAAACTACAGCGTAAAAAAGATTAAATGAATAAAATATATAAAGTAGAAGTTAAGTGGTGATCTATGATGGTAGAAAAAGATAGCACAGATAATATAATTGAATTTTGAACACTTACTACCTACTTACGTCTGTTACTCCTAATGGAGCATAGTCCTCTGACCAGCAGTCTCCGACCCATTCTGTCCTGAGCCTTTCTTTCTAGTTCTATCCAATTGTTGTTTTTTCTTCTCATGTTTTTCTGTTTCCACTTCTCGGCGTAATGTGTTCTTTGGCCTTGAGAAATGCAAGTGAGGTCTTGCCTAGGAGCCCATCTGCGGCTACTGCCAGTCCCATGCGCGGGTAAAGGGGGAGAGTTGGCGACCCCATCCCGTAGAAAACTAACTCGCTAAAAAGCGCTAACCAGAATTCTGGATACAAGGAATATGTAATAGTGTTTAAACTTAGTATAAAGGAGAATGTGTGTATCCGAGTTATTGGTCGATTTTGATACTCAAGATATTCAGTCATCGTGAACTCCAACTAGGTAGTGTAAAATTACTTGAATGATCGAGATCACCAGTTAGTGATATCGTAGACTGATACCATATCTTGGTTTGGGTACCCTTTACAACTGCATTATATGGACGTAAATGAACTAAACAAATTACTTGGTACCCACTTCATTTTCAACTGTGTTATACGGCATGAATGTATTATCACGGATGTTTAAGTTACAACTATTGTATTACCCTCTCATCAGTTTGAGAATGAGTGGTTAGACATACTTATACTGTGGTTAATTAATCGATAATATAACCCTATTTTGTCTGATAATTCAGAATTTCTATGAGCAATATAGAAGTTGACAAATCTGATATTTGAAGACAATTAATAGCGTCTAAAAAGAATAATAAAATAGATTAAGCGGATGGATCCAGTTAGTGGAACTTTTGATTTTCATGAATCTCTTATGGGATAACCGGATTGACCATTCCATATATTAAACTACCCAACGAATACCCATCTTACAAAGCAGCCGATTGAAAGTATATGTACTTGTCGATAGTTAGAAAAACTTACGAAAACACCCATGCAATAATGATAAATTTAAGACATCGGCGAACTTGGCGAAAACAACATTAATGGAAAACTGATGTCATAAGACAGTAGACTGTGATAGACCTATGAAATAGACACTTAGCTTTGTTAAACGTTGAAAAACTAATAATATTGTGAATTCCTTTCTATTGCCGATTTCTACTTCTTGTTTCATTAAGTGGAGACAGTTTGTAACGCGTTATCGTAAATATATAACCTGGTTCTCTATTGTCAGTCGGATATTGTATCTATGCATATCACTCCGTCCAGTTTGGCGAACGTATAATCTCATGGCCAGATCGTATTCCGTTAACGTATCGCTACAAACGACAAATGACTTTCATTTCGCTATCATGATAACAGCAAATGTTCTAAACTTCTAACAAACTGGGGTAGCGTTAAAAAATCAGTCATATGATTTGGACTGCTGATGTTTTAATGTGTAGTACATAATGAACTGAAAAAAAATAAACAGAAACGAATTTTTATAGTCAACACAAAACACTTTATTATCAAACCCATTTGGTTACTTAAAACCGACTTTAATCTACAATGTTAGGAAAGGTTAGATATTCTAATGTAGGAACAAAATTCGGATCAGAAACAGCTAATTAAAAGCTTTATTCTTTAAGCTGTTTGATAACGAGCATAATTGCTATGACTACGTACATATCTAAAAGTTACTGACTGAACAACAGGTATAAATGTCTCACAGTTACCCAATTTTATATTTAAAAAAATTCCAGTCTTTAATGTATAGAAATAATGAAATATAATTTTGTGTCATTTTAGAAAGTCTTTACAAACATATGGATATCCCATGTCTTTAAGAATCCAAGCTGACACAAATCATGCAGTTTTTAAAATCAAATTTATCGAAATAAACAGATAATCCCAAAAATCCATTCATTCTCATATTCATAAGACCAATCTTCATTAGATGTGAGTAATTGCTCTGTAATAACAAGTGTATATAAAAGATAATAAATCGCTAAACAACACTATATTCACAAATTGACTAATTGTCCTCGATGGGACCCAGCATTGGAGATTGAAGCAAAAGAGAAAACTGATCCATAATCTCTGCAAGAGAGCTAGACGAAATTTTACCGAAAATGCAATGTATATCGAAATTATAAGCAAAGATGGATAGTGGCTAGCAGTGGAATCCAGGACGTGCGTTTCGTCCTGTTTGGGACTCGTCAGCTGGATGTACCTGCATCTCAGAGTTGATGTTCACTCTGGGACTCGAACTCAGTACCTAAGTGGATAACGCGATGACGTTTGAAGCGAACGGTACTGAGTTCGAGTCCCAGAGTGAACATCAACTCTGAGATGCAGGTACATCCAGCTGACGAGTCGCAAACAGGACGAAACGCGCGTCCTGGATTCCACTGCTAGCCACTATCCATCTTTGCTTATAATGCTTGTAAATTAAGGCAATATCGAGGCATACGCACAGTATGCACATATGCCAATAAGAGACTGATCAATTTCAGTCCAAAAACATCAATGGGAAGATTCAAATAAAACAATATCAAGTGAATATATCGAAATTGATAAATTGCAGCAAATCTTTATGAATAATGAATATCCATATTGGAACGTCCTCCGAAAAGCACAAGTCTCTGGAGACTCTAACGAACCGTAGAGATTCCATCCAATGAAAACCTGTTATAGCTGTCTAGAAAATCGATGTGGCATCCTACGATTAGACAATAGCATAAATTGCTTCCTTGTGGATCGACCAAATTATAATGATGTCGTAGCCAACGCTAATAACCATAAGTACCCGTTTTTCTGTACCTTTTTTATTCATACTCTATAATCACTTTCCCTGCTTCTTACATCTGATTTCGCCACTGTGGGGTTCTACACGTCCGAGTGCCGTTAATTGCATGTCGTATTCTGCCGCAATCAAGTAGAAGACATAACAATCTAGACTTATTGAGAAAAATCTGAAGCCAAAACAACAATATGAGACAGTGTCCATAGCACCGAAGAGGACTCTTGCTTTATGGAAACTCAATTTAAACGAGCTACTACAGTAGCACTGTGAAATACTTTCGAGATCACTGAGAAAAAGTTTCTAATCGCTTAAGCTTTGTATTATCTTTGCCAGTCAGTCCATGATTTGTAATTGTGTGGAGGATAATCTCCCGCTTTGGGTTTGATCAATCTGCCCTTTCGAAAAGCATCTCTGGACATTAATCTACATACATGTCTAAAGGATTGAGAAAGTCTGTCAAAAGCTTTTATCTTGAAGCACCTATTCAATACTAGTCATTCTGCTTCACCAGAATCCCCTTTTAAAATTATGGTCAGAAGAGTAAGCTCAAAAGGACTGCAAATGGAAAAAACTTATGTACAGAAGAGACTATTACTATCTATTTGTTCAAGTTTACTCATTGCTTACGAAGACAATATATTCAGTCCTTTATTCTTCCATAGCCTTAAACTTCCTTTCACAATCTTCCGTAATCTATGATTTTACTATGAAAAATTATTATTTCTACTCTTTTTTTCAACTATATTTACAACTATCAATTGGTCATCATTAGAACATTCAATTATTCTGTTCTTAATAGCTTTCAAGTGGACCAATTGTCTTTATCTTTGAAGTTTCTCATGAATGGATTAGTAAATAACTTCCCTTCAATATCTGATTTTCGTAAACAGTTCATGATAACATAACACTTCAAGAATGTTTAATTGTCCAACATCATTCTTTTTCTTACTATTTTAGCAAGTGATTTATTTATTTAAACACGTAAACATTGGTAGAAGGAGGCAACAAATACATATGCGCCACATAAATCATTTGATTTGTGTGACGACTGGGATACTGTCCGGGTGCCCAAAACGAAGCAGGTGGTTCTCTTCGACGGCCAAACCCGGAGCCTTTGACCTAAAAGTCTGATCCACAAGGCAGTGGAGCAAAGGAAGAAGATGCAATCCCATGGTAGTCGGTGGCCAATAATTGGTTCATACACTATTTGTTCCTTCAGGGTACTGGTGCCCATGTGCACGATTGGTTTGGAATCGGGATTTTCTAACTCCCCTAGGTGGATCCTTTATATTCACCAACCTTCTTTCCGTTCTCTCAATTTCGTAAACAACACCTCGGCCTCGAGAAGGCAGTGGTTGTATATACGTGACCATGTGAGAGCGTTTCGAGAGGGAGAGCTGACTCTCCCTACTCTCAGTTGTACCAGGGCATTTGGGGGCAAGTGAAATTAACGACGAATATAACTGTAAACCTTCGGTAAATTAAATCGTCAAGAAAACTCTCTACGCTGAATTATCTTCATTCTTTTTCAATGAGATATTGGGTCTCATTAATTATTTCTCCATTCATTTAGTGACAGTTTTTGATATATAACAGAATGATTTTCAGTAGAGAAATTCTTTTCAAACCCTAACACTCATTATATTTGTGTTTTTAATCCGATAAATTGGCTGCGCTACACTGACATGTTCATAATAAACAGTTATGGATAACTCCAAACAGCTGAAATGAAATCATTTGATGAACAAATTACAGTCCAATATCCAGAACTGATCTAATAAGGGGGATAGAGAAGTTGAACATGTTATGTAAAACATAATTACTCGTTAAACATCAACATCGTTTTGGATAACCTTAGACAACAATTTTACTAATCATGAAAACTGATCCCTGAAAAACAATTTCATTTTAATATTTTGTAATCAACTATACAAATTAGATTAGGGTGTTTGGTACCTGTGTGGTTTTGCCACAGGATTGAACTGTACTATTCAGATTGTAGAGTTATAGCCTATATGGTGTCTGATTCTCCAGTGAAACGGGATTGAGCTGTACGGCTCAGGTTATAAAGTTTAAGCCTGGATCGTGTATGGTTCTTTTGAAAGGAAATGTAAAATTACCCTGACCTACGAGGGTATATTATATGAGAACAGAAAGGACTAAATGCCATATGAATTCATGGTATTCTACAAAAGTTATTGTGTCATCAACTTTGAAAAGGCTGTATGATACAGACAATCTTGAGGAAGCCAAACAAAAACTTACAGTAACAAATATTAAATTTTATACAAAACTAAAAAAAAGTTGTCGATAACTAGTTTTATAACTTTAATCACCTAACAACAAAATAATCTAAACCGCCACCTTTTTAGTTGAATGGGGAGCCCCCTCCCCATCATCATCATCTTTTACTTCTCTTATAAATCATTGAAAATATTTTGCGATAAAACAAACACTACGAATCAAGAAAAAAATTTATACGAAGGGGGCAAACAATTAGGTTATTGTTATTTTCTTCATGAATAAACAAAAAAGAAACATACAAAAAGTGTTTGTGTGTGTGTGTGTGCTAGAATGAAATTGAAAACAAGTGATCTGAACCAATGAATAATTATGCATATCACCCAGCAACTATGAATAAGGATCTGACATTTTTTCTAAATATTGTACTAAAGTAGTAACACTTGGATAATATTTTTGTTCTGTTATCCAAGGTAGTTTTGTGTATAGTGTATCGCTGTATTGAACAACAAAGGAGAATAGAAGAGAAAAAAGAATGAAGAAATTAGACATGATGATAATAATATGTGATAGATAAATAAAAGATGATTAGTAGAGAAATATTAAACCATTTAAAACAAGTATTGTATGTTTGGTATAGAGTTGAATGAAATCTAAAAATCTACCTTTGTAATATTCGAGTAGGTTGGAAGAAGGCTAGGGACGGCTAGATCAAAACATGGCACAAATCCATGAAGTCACTGACAAGTGGACTGAGTCATGTTGGTAGGGGTAAATTACCTGGTTGGGATCCGTAAGACGATAGCGACCGATGGTTAGAGACTTTGAATGACATGGCTCAAAATTGTTTGCAATGGCGCAGGTGCATCCACTCTTTGTGTTCTCCCAAATTCTAATCTTATGAATTCTTGATGTCCCTTTCTTTTTTCTCCTTCCAAATTTGTTTCACTGAATTATACTTCTTGAATAACATCTTCAAACCTTAATGTCTCCGATTACTGCTAATACACTTACTATATTTACCACTATGGGATTTGATTCGACAATTATATCTGTGTGTTAATGTGGTATGGCAACTCGAACTGATGTACATACGTACGAAGCTCTACGTTCTTACTGACTGACTGCAATATTTGAAACCCAAGACAGTGAACGAATTCGGAAGGTAAAAGAAGCTATACTAGTAGGTTTAGTGTTTTCATAGAGATCAGAAGCATCTATAAAAATGATACTAGATATTCAGTTATAGCTTGAGTATTTAGTCAGTTAATCTAGAAATAATCATAAACTGAGGAGGAGGGAGGACTTGATATTACAAAGCAAGTGATTTCCTTTGACGACACTAAGAGAGCTTTTGACAAAAACGTTCAATCGAAAAAGAAAAACAATGAAGCAACCACAGGAGATTCAATCTTGTGGTATCTGGTAAACCAAAAAAAAGATTCGTACATTGGTTTCCTCAAAATGTCGAAACACATATGAACCATTAGTTTCAAACCAGTTTCTTACAAATCCTGCAGATAAACTCTCCGTAGTCACCAACCCAGTTCATCTTTGCAGAGTTGTAAGACTTCCATTGAGGATGCTATAAACGAGCGGCTAAATACAAACCATTTGATTTGAAGAGTGGAGACTCTTTCCACTATCAATCGAATCAGTATTCTAGAACACAGTCTAAAAGCACTTATGTAGTAAATTATTTAGGAGCTCCAATACTTCAAAACCAAGAAACCTATTTACGTTTCTTGTTTTTCTGTCACACTTCAAGTGTGAACAACAACGATAAATACCTGGCTAATCAAACATGTGCGATATAATTGTCGAAAAACCACTATCGGAGCAGTAGGTAAATGAAACAATTGAGATCATTAAGGCATGCGACTTTCAATCACTTGGTCGACAGTTCAAACCCCATGAAAATAGAGTACTTCAAAGACCCGGACTATACAAATTGGTACTTTGTAATTACGCTGAGTTATATTACTGCGAAAAGTACTCAAAACAGTGTACTCACGTGAATGATAAGTGTTCACTTTCTGGTAAATCGAAGGTGGATTCAGATTTCACTCGGTTAAAGTAATACACCTTTCCAGTACTCCTACTAATCTCTTCAGTCCAATTATCTATAAGCACACAAAAACAAATAGAAATGTGAAGTTTCATTAATGACTGAACAACAACTAAACAAAACATGATGATACTATTTAGATCGTGTAAAAATTCATTTCATATAAAGCATATAACGATTCCGGTTCAATATAAAGCAAAATCTTTTATAAATACTTGAGAACGAAAAGAATCTTTAGTCAGTCACAACAGTTCAAGTTGTCATACGACATTAGCGCAGAAAAATGTTGTCAGACAAAATTCCACAATAGTAGAGGTAGTAACAGTATCATTGCTAATAAGAAAGATGACGCATCAGAGATACGACTCAAAAATAAAATATAAATTAGTGAAATAAAAACACGAAAATCGTTGTAGGTGATATCGAAGTTCAGGTTACTTGAAAATAGACGGTAACTGGAGTGTGTTCCAAAGCCAATTGAACTGATCCATAAAGTATGTATTATTACTACTACCAAAGTTTGGCTTAATAATTCCAAATAAATTGAGCATTGGGTAGATTGTTATAAATAAAAATAATATAATATTCTAATGAGTAGAAAAATTAGATTTCCTGATGTTTCATGACTCAGTGTAAGCCAATAGTACGAAGGAACAAAGCATCTAATATTCTTGTTTTGTTCCTTTGTTATATTTCTGAACTTGGGTTAATTTTAATGTGGTTATTTATTCTCTGAAGAATTGGCTGAAACTGAGTCACGAAATTTAATTTTTCTAGTTCATTAGGCTATTACAAATATTATTTGTTCCCTGCAATGTTCTACCGATACTTTCTGTTTCCTGAATTGAGAGTGAATAACAGTCCTGCTCAAACTAGAGAATGATCCGAGTGTAAACATGTGCTCTAGAACAAGTGACAGTTTCAATCAAACGGCTGCGGTTGGGAATTTGAATTAAGATGTGATCAAGACGTTTGGACAATTTTTCTCAATCAGGGATCACCCAATGTGTGAACTAAGGGTATCATGTTTGATATTCTGGTGCAGTTTGGTATCGATTCAGAAAGCTCGTTTGAGTCTTTGCAACAAGGAGGCGAGTTCCTTGTGAAATATTTCGCTCTATTTTACTTTATGAGTGAAACGTGGTCTTCAAATGTAGAAAACAATGATTCGATGATAGGTGTCCTAGAAGGACTTCTTGCGCATATATTGAGAACGAACAAGTAAGTGAGCAATATTAAGGTAAGACTCTAAGTGTTAGAGAAAGGTAAAACAGTTTATAAGATAATAAAGATCGGAAATGTATTAAGTATCCTCCACAGCAATCTATCTCGATACGTGATATTTGCCGGTGTAGAAGTAGACTGGAAGAAAATTGAAGGGAGGAAATGTAACTAGATAATCTAGTTGGGATTTAGACGATTATTGTGACCGATAGCGAGAGATGATGTTAGATGAGAGTTCAGAATTAGTTGCAATGATCCAGATCTACTTACTCATTATTTTACTTTAAATCATGATTTTCAAGATCCTTTTATTATTTTTATTTCGTGGATTCATTCGTTGTTCACAAATCATATTCTTTATCTATAGAGCTTTTTAGCTAACACAGATACTATTAACATTACTTTGATATTCATCTCACTGCGGTGTTATATTGATGAAGATATGTACAGGGTTTTAAGTTGTATACAACACACTGACAGTATGGAATCATGAGTTGGTACTGTCAATAAGTAGTTAACCTGCACAAACTACCTATCTAGAACAACATTTTTGAGTTTTCAGCGATTTTTTTCCCAGCTTAATATCAAGTTCTTGATATGAATCAGCTTTAAAACAAAAATGATAACCAAAAGCTTGATAAGTATCTGTAATAACATGACATAGCAAAACAAAAAACAAAATTCAATAAAATAGTCAACTGAAATATAATGGAAACATGGTGAGTGAATGAGTTTGGGGTAGATGAGTGCAGCAATAATAATAATCCAAACCAATTGTTAACATCCTACTTACCTGTCATATGTTGTACTAATAACAAAGAATGTGGTTGAAATGTAAAACCATCGGGTAAACAATGCATTGGTACAAGTGTTGGTGAATCCTTACACGGTAGAAGAGGTAGTCTGTAACAAGGAACAAATAAAAAAAAACTATTGGACAGAATATATATAGTGCTAACAAAACATATACACTTAAAAAGTGTAGCACCATAATTATCTTTTCTGCAGCAATTTGGAAGACTCTCCCAGTCACCCACATTGTACGAACATTCCATGTACCTAAATAAATAGTTGCTCTGGTTGTCAGAAGAGGTATCGGCCTCGCGACTTCCGAAGGAACTTGGCTTTCATCATGAGGCATCATAACTCTTCTAAATCGAAGACCTTCTGACTCCCAGGACATAGATTAAAAGGTTTGAATAATTTTTACTGGTTAGCGTTTTTCTAGCGAGTTAGTTTTCCACGTGATGGAGTCGCTAACCCCATGCCCAACCCTCCTACTTTATCCGGGCTTGGGACCAGCAGTAGCCCCCGGAGAGACTCCAGGCGGAGTTATGATTATCTTAATAAGTCATAAAACTGATCCAAATGAGGGAGAGTGACCATAGAAGACAAATTTATAATCAGAATTATCAATAAGTTTTGAAATCCAGGATATTACTAGGCTGCATCCTTGCCATTAAAACAGGAGCAAATTCAGGAAATGATTGGTTTGTAAGAGGGTGAGTTCATTCGCTAATGGTTGAACTCAGTTAAGAAACTACTGACATAATACATTGATACCTGGGAAAACTATTGAAAAGTCTTTTTTCTTCTCTATCATACCTAATCTAGTATCGGGAAATGTTGTTCCACTGTCTTGTAGGTCAAACCTTCAGGTCGAAGGCTCCGGGTGTAGCGCACTAAGAAAACCACCTGCTTCGGTTTGGGCAGCTCAGAGGCCACACATAAAATCAAGTGACTTGTGTGGCGTATATGTATTCGGTGCCCCTTTGTACCAATATCTATGTGCTCAAATAAATAAATAAATAAATAACAAATTGTATTGACCCATAACGAAGAAACTTATCTACCTGAAATGAACATATTTCCTCGAATCTCTAGACAATCAATCAGTCATAAGCAACGTTAAGCATGATACACATGTGTTTAAGCTTAAAAATTTACGCCGAAATGATCGGAGACCTATTTATGTGACAAATATCACTAAAGATCTTTCTTCAGAAGAAAAACGACAGGGAAACACTTTTACATTTTCATTTTGTTTCTGAACTGATTACCGAAGGTGCGTAAATGTTTATTGTTTTAACATAATTTCTGAATGCTTTCAGAATTTCAAAAGATTACATTTTCTTACTGTAGTTAAGAGCCCCCAAATGCCCTGGTACAACTGAGAGTGGGGAGAGTCAGCTCTCCTTCTCGAAATACTCTCACATGACCACGCGTATATAGCCTCTGCCAGCGAAGTCCTACTCACTGCCTTCTCGTGGCGAGGGTGTTGTTTACAAAATGAAGAGGACAAAAAGCGAATGTCTGGCGCTCTGACCGGATTGGTGGATACGGAGAGTCAACGAAGGGGAGTTGGAAAACCTTGATCCCAAACCAATGGTGCACATGGGCTCCAGTAACCTGAAGAAACAAATGGCGTATGAACCTATCGTTGGTCATCGACTACCATGGGACTGCATCTCCTTATGTTGTTCCACTGCCTTGTGGATTAGACCTTTAGGTCAAAGGCCGTCTAAGAGAACCACCTGCTTTGGTTTGGGCACCCGGGCAGTGTCACAGCCCTCACACAAATCTCATTTGATTTGTGTGGTGCATATGTATTTGGTGCCTCCTTGTACCAATATCTATGTGTAGTTAAGAGTGAAATTGTTATATTTACGATTAATTAGTTTAATGTACTTAAGTCAATGTTAGTAGTATCCACTGTTTCGAATGCAATCACATTCTATATAAAACTATTTATTCCTTAAAAAACCAATGAGATGTTCAAGTGGTATGATATATCCTACTTTATTTAACTTCAATCTTTGATAAACTTAAACAAGGCAGAGACAATAAGATTTACAAAATACAATGATTTCATTCTATTCCGATGCTTCTTATCAGCATCAAAACAGACTAAAGTTACAATTACTAAGAATATAATAAACTATGAAGAAAGAAAGTTTAAACTGTACAGTCACCTGCTTTTTAGTTACTTTCAGTTTAATATTCATAGAGTAAAGGGAGTTTAGTAATCGGTTATGAAATCAATATTACCATAGATTAGGTGCGCAAATATAATTAGTCAATCTTAATCAACATTAAATCGGGCATAAATGTACGTTAAGATTCAGTTGTCATAGGAGTTTGATGAAAATTTACAGCTTCATTGAAAAATTTATTACTACAGAATACCGTATGTTTAACCTCGGTGTTGCTTACATGGTTATCGTACCATAATACCCTAATAATGGTTCGAAGATATCTACGACTAGAATTTTGCATCTCAACCATATTGTGTGCTTGTATAGATAAAGTTTGACATTCACAAAGTAATACAGATATAATATACAAAGGCTTTTATAAACATGTAAATGCATTTTAAAAATAAGAAGAAGAAGAAGAAGAAGAAGCGGGCAAAAATTACACAACTTACTTTTTCAAATAATCAACTATTTCTGACAATTTTAGAAATGGTGGTACACGAACATTGGATGAAGTCATATCTGGAAAATTAATTATATTTGTCATTTGTTCAGCTAATTCCATTCTAACAAATAAAATGTATGTTGGAAGAGGAAGAAAGGAATCATAAACATCTATGTTGTAAACGAAGTTACCATTTAATAAGTATGTTAGTTGTACGTCAATATGTAGTAAAAACCTAGTAAATGTATATGCATCGATACACGTTAACATACTATCTACATGGGAACAGTGCAGTGAAACTATCAAGACAAATGTAAGAGTAGTAGAAAGTTACACTATTAATGATATTAATAGGAAAGTCTGGGTATGGACGATATGATTCCAGAAGGATAAATTCCTGGATTGAAAAATTATAAGACAACCATAAAACTCAGGGATCTAAGATAAAGTAGGGATTGAATTTATCTAAATTATTGTAACCGATTCTGAGTCATATAATCATCTAACGTCTCTGACAGCTGGTTAGGATAGTTTTATGAATCCCGATCAGGTGGTTTTCATCTACCACCAGGGCTAACTTCAACAATCTATAGCATCATTGACTGATTAATATAAAATATGTATAGACTTGTACTGACTAAAATGAATTTGGAAATATTTGTTGTATAGAGAATATACAAGTTTGCTGATAATAAACTTTCATTTATTACGAGCATGTTAATTGTAATAAAGACTGAGTACAGAGTTTTTGTAATTTCATTCACAGAATTACCAAACAATAAGGACTCGTCAATTGAAACTTGAAAATACATTGGACAGTAAAACGTCTAGATTTCAAGACTAACTGACAATCATAAGTTGCAGAAAAATTTGATGATTAAAATCCATTAGCATATTAGTTTGTATTATTCAGTTAGTTAATCGTAAACAGTATCGAATATGACATTGTCCTCATGAGTCTGTCTCCAAAACAGTGAGAGAGACGATGTTACCAAGATAAAAATTAAAAAAGTACATGCGTAAATAGTGAAAAATAATGGAGAATATACTCTGTAAATGATTTCGGAGAATGAAAAATAATCACAAATAACCAAACAGATGAAAGTAAACAATGAACGAATCCGCACCGCTGCAACGGAATCATTTCCAACAACGGATATTTCAATTAGTGAGGTAGACATTGACCAAAGAATATCGGAACAATCTCAACACACCTTAAACGAACTTCATCCATTGATAAAACACAACTGATTTTCAGTGGTTCTAGACTCCTAATCTACTTGTCTATATAATACAAACAACCGGATGTCTACAGTAAGTAGGTAAAAGTTGTATATCTAAAGACAATAATCTCAACAGTAATAAATATGAGTATATTCAACGATTATATCTTAAATCAATGAGTGAAATAAACATAAGAACAACATGTACTTACCTTTTCCTGTATGGTAATTTACGACAATCTCGACCGTAGATACACACAACATCATATATAAATAAACCGTGTTTTCGTAAACCATTCTATAAAGATCCAGAGAACAATACAAAAAAAAACTTTTAAGATTTTTAACAAACATGTTAATAAAAGACAAGAGCACAATGAATCATTACAAGAAATAAATGACATACACACACCCTCTTGATACCAGAAGTACAGTAGTTTATCACTAACATAAATGAAAACGAATTTAATCCGTAAAAGTCAGTTTCTGATTAGATGGGACTGAAAACAAATGCACACACACACACACACACATATCAAAATATGTAATTTGTACACTAAACAATGAAGAACTTAATAACAATTGTTATCAATGAAGGAAGTAAATCTTAGAGTACCACAGTTCCCGACAAATCATTGTTGATCAGAGGATCAGCATCGTTCTATAATATAGACGGAGTACAGGTACTGTTGATGAAAAAATGCTTTGAAAATGTTTTTTTCTCCCTCCAAACTAATTAATTTTAATTCATTATTCAACTGCAGATTATAAATCATCGGACGTCAATCATATACGACTAGCCGACTGCTACTCAAACAAAAGGTGAGATTCTATCGATTTTCTGGGGGTTTTAACTAGCCAGATAATCGCTGATCTATGCTTATTCAACAAAATGTATTTTAATGTCAGAAGGGTTTTTGTGGATATTATAGTAATTTTAATGGTTGAGATCATGAGTCAATCGAATCTAGACAACCATGGAAAACCTGGACGGTCGTTTCAATTGGTTCATGATTTCAGTTATTAAAATTACTATAATATCCACAAAACCCCTTCTGATACTAATCAACATATGCTCAATGGTGATTGATTTCAAGAGGTATTTCCTGGAGTTCTGGTGAAGAACAGTGATCAGTGGAGTACAACTGGGTCTGTTGTAAGTTAGTAACTCACTGAAAACAATGGTGGATGTTTCGTGGATTAGCTGAAGTTAGACATTAACACCGTTGGATGCCGGCCGGCACAGTGGTCTAGAGGTCAAATGCTCGCGAAACGAGACCGATAAGTCCTGGGTTCGAATCTCGTGGATGCGCACTGCGGAGGAGTTCCAAAATAGGACGAAACAACCGTCCAATGCTTCCACGTTTTCCATAGTGGTTTAGCTTCAATTGAACCATGATCTCAACTATTAAAATGTATTTTATTCATTCATTTAAACAAACACATTTCGCAAAGACTAAAATCAACACTTATAATGTGATAATTTAGTGAAAATTTTTGACATTAAAATATGAAATTAGTAACTACTCAATTGTTATCATTTCAGTATGTAGTGCAAAAATTAATTGTTCAATAGTCAAAATAGATAAACAGATTAGAAAAGTGAACTTTAAAACAGCAAGAATTTAATTTAAAGCTAACGACACAACCCTTTATAATGATACTAAGTTGCATTATGTGTTAACAAGGAAATTAAAAGAACATATAGGATTATTATGAGATTTATATATCGCAATTATACTACTTAATAATGACTAATATCTATTGTTGCATAACCATTACACATATTACATTGACTGAGTGTAAGTACTTATAGTTCACATACCCAAAGTGACACTAGTCAGACAGCTATTGAGGACCAGGAAGCATTGGACAGCTGTCACATCCTGCTATGGAAATCCTTAGCAATAGGCAACAGCGATTTCGCCAAGGATCGGTCGAGCTCAGAAACCCCAGGTCTAACAGATAGCGTCCAAACCGTAAGATCATTGACGTGACAGTCAATGGTGGACAGTTTTAATTCTAATTAGTTTACTATATTACGCAATCATCATCCAATACCGTTAGTGAATAACTGTCTGAATATAAACTATCTACTTTCTTATTGACCGGCTCAATGGTTCGACCAGTTTTATATTGAATTTGTTACTTTCGTCTCTGCCTGTACGAAGTGTCGATTGTTGTTATTCACTTTATCACTTTCAATGTAATTTTGTAATCGAAATCAATTTTAATTTAGTCTGTGAAATTATACCATAAATATTCTGAGGTTAGACAGTTTTGCGATTTTGACCAACTACGAGTGCATGGTTATTACTGTTAATCAATCAATAATAATTCCATTAAATAAAATTAATTTAACTCATTCACCAGGTAATTGAACATGACCTAAATGGCCTGGTACGGCCGAGAGTGGAGAGAGTCAGATATTCCTCTCAAAATACTCTCACATGGACACGCGTATACAACCAATGCCAGCGAAGTCCTACTCACTGCCTTCTCGAGGTGAGGGTGTTGTCTACGAAATTGAGAGGACGAAAAGCGAATGTCCGGAGCTTTAACCGGGTTGGTGGATATGGAGGATCCACCTATAGGAGTAGGAAAACCCTTATTCCAAACATATGGTACACATAGGGTCCAGGATCCTAAGGAAACAAATGGCGTATGAACCAATTGTTGGTCACCGACTACCATCGGATTGCATCTCCTAATGTTGCATTGTGGATTAGACCTTTAGATCAAAGGCTCCGGTTGTGATCCTCTAAAAAACAACCTACTTCGGTTTGGGCAACTGAGCAGTATCACAGCCCCCACATAAATTGAATGATTTATGTAGTGCATATCTGTTTGGTGCCTTCTCGTACTACTGTTAATGTGTATAAATAAATGAATAATGAATACCACACGGCTGCCCAAACGGAGATAGATGGAGTGGGGTTTGAACCTAGGCTAAAAGTCGAACATCCTAACCACTAGGCAACCACTCACTCCATCCCTATTTGTGTACCAAATGTACTATGTTGGTAATTTTTGTTTTAAAATGTCGTCTTCAGATATGAAGAACTATTCTTATAATTATAAATAATGAAATTACAACTGTGAAAATAGTTTCCTGTATCTGAAGATTACAAGATGATCCCAATTATAGAGTAGGGCCCAGTGAGGAGGTCCATGCATTTGATACGGCTTAAATGAACAAACGGTGACTGGGGTGAGTGCTGCTGAAGAGTTCTATATTAGGATGAAGCAGCTATCCAGTCCTCATCCTAGTTTATAATGGCACTTCAGAATCAAGTTGTGTTTCCCCATCATCTGTCATACTGTACGACATCAAAAACAATCATTCGAAGTATAGGAAACAAACGCGTACTTCTTTACTAAATTGTAACACAAGGAGGCTGAAATTACACACAAACCAAGAATGCAATTAATATTATATTCATAAAACATTTCACAAGATAAACATTATTAGTCTTTTTTCGAAAATTACCTTCACAGCATATTCATAAAATGGTTGGCCCCAAATTAAGGTACTAGGTGGAAGTCGTGGGTTTAGTCTAGGTATCACTTGATCTAATCTATTCCATTGATCTCCATCAACAGTGCAATAAGTATCCTAAAACAATTACAAACGGAATAAATATACACAACTAATCTTAGAATGTAAATGATATGATAATATATTAATAGTGATATGTATATAATAAAACAATCAAAGTGTAAGGATGGGGATTTGTGAGAATTTCCCAGTTTAAGTTCGATTTTTATTATAGATATCAACTGTTGAGGTTGATAAGTCTGGTACTTAAACGCTTCATTATAAATTTCTAGCTGCTTCCTATTTTCCCAACAATACTTCTATTGTTGAAGTCCAAACGGGAGAGAGGTGAAATGTAGATGCTCTCATTCCAAGATTGAGTTATGTACAGAAACCAAGAGTATTTGCAGATTTATGGGTGCACCTGGTATTTTGAAAGATTCTCGAAATGATGAATTTAGTAGCAAAAATGTTAATTATCCAATCAGTGTAGCATAAAATTCATTGCCATTCTAGAAGTTCATGAAGTCTTCATATGACACAGATTGATCAAAGTACTTTTAGCTTTTCCCCCAGATTATGAACCCTATTTTGAAGAATTTTCAACGGCTAACAGAAAGATTAATAACTTAGAAGACCGAGGTAATTTACACATCATACTTTGGGACCGTATCTTTGCAGTGCACAATTCATGACCTCTCATTAGGTCGAACCCAAGAGTCTTAGATCTTCCGATGAAAACAATACTTTAAGAAAACTGAACTGGAATCTAACAGTCTAATTCAACCAATTCACGATATAATGAAATATTTAACCAAGATTACGGAATTATTTTATTACTCCCAGATGTAGTTATACAACCCTCTTCCATCACAGTTTCTTATCAGAACTTTGAAACCTAGCCAGTAGTACGTATAGGTTCAATAAATAAGATCCAAAATGATGAATATGAACTTATTTTTATATCCTTTTATGAATATTTCTGAATGATCAGGTATACCTCTGTTTAATGTAAACTTTGAAAAAAAAACCGAAATACTGTGTAGTAAATAGTAGTTGAGACAGGTATATTCAATTTACCTACCGTAACTGCAGATCCATGTGAATAAATGAACATTGTTTGAGCTGGTTCAGAAGTTGATGTAATCGACGGATTACCGCATACTAAAGCAATTCGACTATGATATAAAATATCTAAACTATTTAAATTTGCATTAGTGAATGGTGTAAGACGTATATTTGCACGATATTCTGATGGTAACGTATTGAGTGATGTGAAATTTTCGCTATCCTATAAAGAAACAAGAAGTAGACGTTAATATACTAACGGATAACATATTTTATATAGTATCGTAAAAGTAAATAGTTTAAGTCACTTTTCTACAATTCAGCGATCATATCATGTGATTGACAAATGTATAAGTAACTGATTCGAATACGGTTTCGCTTACTTCGGTTTACACACGCTGATAGTATCATTAGTTCATACGGGAGAAGTATAATTCCCATGCAAATAATACATGCATCTGTAGGCTTTTAGTGAGATGTATTATTCTATTAAATTAATATAGTTACAATCTTTCTTAAGTCTATTGTGATGATGAAATTTAACTGTTTTGAAGGTTCGACCGAGCCTACTTGACTAAAAATCTATCCACTAAGATCCTATCATGTTAAAAACATTTAAACAAATGTAGAAGAAGAAGAAACACAGAAAATCTTAAGTTCTAAAGTGAAGTAGTGTTGATAACTATATCACGTTGTATAGGTAGAGAAGGAATACGCACAGATAAATAATGCCTCTAGAGACCATGCCTACCCACATACAAAGGGGGGAAGTTACAAAAGATCGACTAGAATAGCAACAAAAATTGATCGCCTCACAGATTCCTGGCTTAAGCTGTCTAGAAAAATGATGAGTGTTCACTTTCTCAATACTGACCTCTCCGAACAATTAATTGTCTATTTAACGGCATTATCGTTGAACGTGCCAATTATTGATGGGGTAATTTCGACTTTGGACGTGACACTTGTTGTTTATAGTTTTATCTTTACTCAACTGACCTGACTGGATGATATCATAAGATGTCAAAGAAACAATTTTATTCTATTCATTCCGATAATTGAACATTCAAAATATTAATAAAGGACTATAATTCTTAGAAGTTAAGAATAATCTCGAGAATAGATAGAATTAAACAACCCTATCATTTAACAAAACATAAAATCATCTTGGTGAGTTATAAAGTTATATGTATTGGGATGTGATTCATCATGACACTGGTGAGTATTGTGAAAGCAAGAAACTGAAGAAAAAAGAGATCAGAACAAACATGAACTGTCCAATAATAACTTACACCTAATAAACGACGAATAATTGGTGAACGATTAGCGGATAATAAAGGCCAAGGGACAGGTCGACGTTCTGTTATTGGAATCTTCAAAAACAAAAGTCAGTCAATCATAGAGAATGAGAGAAAAGTTATGTAACAATAACAACAAACAGTTGATATACATCTTAATACAGGTTACATGAACTATATCACTTTTCATTAAATAGGGACTGGTTTTACTATCGAAACTACCGATATTTAAAAAAAGGTGAAACGAGCTTCTAACCTGTGTTGTGGTTTCGTTGAGAATAGATAAATAATGAAGCTCTGATGAACAACAGAAGCTATTTTTGGAAACATCACTTAATTCAAAGTTTGTAAAAATATTAACATTCAATCCTGTCACTAGGTTATTTCATAGACTATAAGCTTTAGTTTGATGCATGATTTACTACCATACTCTTTCCTATTTCAAAGCTATTATAACCTTTGGTACTCCATTTTTCCACCCTAACCCCCCCCCACAATTTGGACATAATTGTATTTTCTTATTGTTTGTGCGTCGAGGTTGTGTTGGTCTACTAGTTATTTACGTATCTTTTTACATGAATCTCAATCAGGGATAAATCGAGAAGTGAATCAGTTGACTCGTTCTCTCTCTCTCGTTTTCATCTCTCTACCTAAGGCCATTAGTCTATTGTGCCAAGATCTTAATCTAGATAGAGACAATTTCTCTCCTGTATATTATTGGGTAAACAGATCAAGGACGTAACAGTTCTATGATCTGATTAAAAACAATAATTCAGTGAACGGTTTTATAGTCAAAAGGTCGAACGATTAGTGCTACAACAAAAGTATACATACAAGTGTATGGACTGATTCTGACAGAGATATATGCGAAGTGATCTTGATCAGAACGACCACTTACTCGTTCACGAACTTCCCCCATACTTGTATCTCATCTAATGTGTAGACCTGAAACAAGATATGGTTCATTTGGGCTTTTAAACATATCGACCAGTAACCAACCCAATAACTGAAGGATGGAATAAATAGTGTTCGCAACTGAAACTCAATGATTAACACTGAGTTATTACTTAAACAATTGCTTTCATCATCAAACCAAAAAAAGTGATTACTCACATTGATATATGACGAAGGGCATCTGACAATACATTTTCCAACCTTCAAAGAGATATCAATTTTTCCGTAATTTTAAATATGCTTGCCCGACCAACGGTAACAACCAGGAAGCATATCTGAGATAGATAACTTGAAAGATAGTCTTCTTGATCATTTGGTAAACACCAATTGAAGACCCACTAAAAGTTATGGGGATAATGGAAAATAATTTCAATCCTTTAATGAGAACTTGGTTTTCATATTGATGATTTCATCTTTTCATAGTAATGTGTCGTGACAAATTGAACCGATGCGTATGTGTTCCAGGTCCTATGTTGTCAATGTCTGAATCACTAAGATAGAGATGTGATTAAGTTGCTTTATATCAATGAAGCGTCTAATATAAATCTCCCTAAAATGTCTAACAATTTGGCGTACTTAGCTCGCATCAAGTTCAAATTAACTAACAGTTCTTAAAGTATCAATAAACACTATATGATGAAATCCATGAAGATTGTGAAACACGAACAAGGAACACAACAACAACAACAACAAACAAGCAAACAAAAAGATTAAACACATGAACCAACACAATTACCTTCCATTTTTCTAAACATGTTCTATACAATTCATCTTGTCTTTTTTCAACAAGACTGTGGTCTTGAGAGAATGCTAATAGTTTTGACAAAGCGATACATTGATGTTTAGCAAAACTAAAGGGAAGACGAAAAGAAAACAAGAGACATTCAGTCGAACATTTGACTTAAAATACACTAAAGCAATTAATTTTACTAAGAAATTAGTTTTTCATATCAATCTGTCATTAGCAACAAAGAACCTGGAATACATGTGCACCAAATTAAGTTGCTAAATCATATTAGTAGCAGACTTTAAGGAATAAACAGTACGAAAAAATTAAGAACTTAAAACCTAAGAGAAGATAAACAATGAATGCATCTAAATCACTACGACAGGTTGTAAGCCGTATTATTCAGTAAAACCATATCATCGATTACAGAGCCCTTAATATGATTAATATATCTAGCCATTACCGAGAGGGGAAATGAGGGTATTACAACGGGTTATGACACATCGATTCAATAATATCTATTTCTTTGCATAATCTTGAAACCATCTGATAAGTCTTGTCGATCGAACGCTATATTCGTTTTCCTAAGCTATTCTGGTAACCCGCAGTCTAGAACTACACAGCGACTTGAATACCAGAGAGAAGACACAAGTATGAGAGAAAAGTACTTTATCCCAAGGTTTCTTTTTGTACAGAAAATCATAGGTATTTATAGATGTTGACGTCTGTTAAATCAACATCATATTTCAGCCAATCCGTCAACGACATATTATGCCACCAACCAATAGTAGCACGCCACGTTGGAATTCTAGAACGTTACATCATACTCTGATTGGCTAGGACCCTTCGGCTCCTTTTGGGCTTCTGGAGGCTCCGTTGAAGTTCTCCGGAAGCCGACTCAACACCATCCTACAGTTGCATTAAGCTTAACAGGAAGCAAACTAAATGAAGTTTCTTAAAGTATTTATGCAGAAACTACCAGTTCAATCTATCTCAGCTTCTCAAGACAGTTCCGATATAATGACAAGGCAGCTGAAGGAATAAACTTCTGATAACTTCTCCGAATTTTTCGATTAATGAAAACAAAAATAGAACATGTGCATTATCAGAAATAAATCATTTTTTCAAAGTGTTTATCTCTTATTTAAACACATAAATATTGGTACAAAGAGGCACCAAATACATATGCGAAACACTTCGTCATTTGATTTGTGTGAGGGCCAGGATATTGCACGGGTTCCCAGGCCGAAGCAGGTGGTTTTCTTAAAAGACCACTCCCCGAGCTTTTGATCTAGAGGTCTAATCCACAACGCAGTGAAGCAATGTCAGGAGATGCAATCTCATGTTAGCCGGTGAACATCATTAGGTTTATACGCCATTTGTTTCCTTAAGATCCTGGAGTCCATGTGCACGACTGGTTTGAATTTAGGGTTTTCAAACTCCTCTAAGTGTATCCTCCGTATCCACGAACACCAACGTGGTTAAAGCACCGGATATTCGTTTTCCGTCCTCTGGAATTCGTAAACAACACCCTCACCTCGAGAAGGCAGTGAGTAGGACATCGTTGTCAGTTTCTGTATACGCATATCCGTGTGAGAGCATTTTGAGAGGAATATCTAACTCTCCCTACCATCGGCCGTACCAGAGCATAAGATTGATCCAGCATAAATTTTGCAAAACTATATTTTCGCTACTTAAATTTACTATTAAACATACAACGGACAACAGTGAACGGTATCGTAAATAGACTTATTAAATAGACAAATAAGAACAAACTTGTATGTAGTTTCCGGTAAGGAAAGCATGCAAAAAATATCACAACTTACTCTTCATTCATCCCCTGAATAAATTGCATAAATTTTTCATCTTGTTCAATTATTTTAGTGTGACATATTCTTAATACATCCAATTTTGGATTGATTGACGATGATGATGACGACACTGATTGGTTTGTTTTAATTTGATTTAACTTTTCATTAACTTGTAAAAAATGATTGATCACTAGACCAAGTGAACCAGATTGTTTCATATCGGTTAGAATGCCAAACTTCTTACTGGCTTCCACATCATCAACAACAATACCATTTGTGGTGGTTGTTTGTTGTTGTTGACCTGGAAATTTACGTGTCTTCTGTCGGAAACTTGACTTTTGATCAGTGGAATCCGAATGACTTGTCATGGATGATGATGATGATGATTTGGGAGCAGGTACACAACCAGCCATTGTGTTTAAAGATGATCGTAAATTTTTGCATACTAAATAACTTGATGGTTAGAAGAGAAAGCAACAACAATCACCGATAAAATGAACAGTTCGATAAATAATATATCAAATTATATAATAATATAACCATCTACCACATCTACCAAGAAATGGGAAATTAGGAAGTCATACAATGTCAACATTATTGTCACTTAATAGTTTTTATCAAATAACTATTACAGATTATAGTGACCAAATTATGATGTGACATTAGTCCATGAAGTTAATCACCATTGGGTTGAGAGTTGTACTGAATGACGTAAGCCTTCTGATTAGAGTGATCTTATAGTTGGATGCCTAAAGATGATGCGTCTAGCAACAAAAATCGATTTCAGTTACCAAGATCTATCCATTCTTTGTACTTTGGATAAACTATGAATTTGATTATTATCTCATACTTTCCACCATCCAATTTTATGCTATTCCTTTATTATCTATGTAACAAACGTTGACCCTAATGATGCTGACTCAATCAAGCTATATTGACTGAAACACATGTTCCTTTAGTTTCTACCACACAATGAAGGTTGATTGGAGAGTGGTATGACTAGGGCAACAAACTCATGATCTGAGCAGTAAGTCGCGCTGCAGAACGTACACAGATGTGACTGCAGGAAGGTGGTTTTCTCAGACAACCAACAACTACAGCCATATTACCCTAGCATAACCGGAGGAGAGAGTTTAAAAAGGTAGACTCCAGAAATACCAGACATCACCTTGTCTCACAGATAAGGACCCTAATGATAAGGCCTTAGAAGTACGGAGCTAACATAACTAAAACTATTCACATAAAATTTGTCTGTAAATAGCCTTAAGCAGTCATCCGTTTGATTTTACGAGTCACACTCTCAAGTCGTCAAGACCATCCTCTAACTCAGAATCGCTTACAAGAACCCCAAGAAGTATAGTTTTCTAAACACATTTTAGGAATTTCACCCAAAAATATTCATTGATTAAAAGTAATTTTCAGTATTGTTTTTGGCTTTTTGGAGAATTACCCCAAAAATTAAACATGAATACTAACAGTTTATATTCATTTGTAAAGGCGTTTATTTTCTAATTGTCAGTATTGACAACTGAAACTGGTCAGTTTCTATTGATATACATGTCTTGAGCGGATTGCTAATAGAGAAACTCATCAATCACAGTCTATAATATCAACAATTGTAAAATACAAATCTTTACGAACTAAACCTGTACCCGTCACAAAAGCGAATGACTGCTATCTGAACTCAATAGCTCAACCGATTGTGTGTTGATGTTTGAAGTGAAAGGTATTGGGTTCAAGTCCAACTGTAATCATCATCAACACTGAAATGAAAGTATATTCAACTGATGAATCCTGGAAATGAGACGAAACTCGTATTCTGGATTCTACTGTTAGATATAACTTAAATTAAATAAGAAAAATTTATACTTAGCAAACAGGAACAAGCAAAACTCAATGGAATGAAACAAAATATAAACTAACCGTTCCGAATTAGCTGGTCGACTAGTTACAGGTTTTACAATGAAAATCTCTTCAAATAAATAACCCATCAAATAAATTATACCAATTGTGAATTCAGTGAATGTATCAAATAATTTTGTTAAAAAATGTCCACCTAAATTTGTCAATGATTTTAAAAAGAACAAATACAAATATATAATTCATATCAGAGGAGTTTTGGTGAATATTATAGTGATATCAATAGTTGAGATCATGAGTCAGTGGAAGCTAGACCACCATGGAAAACCTAGAAGCACTGGACGGTCATTTCGTCCCATTTTAGGACTCCTCAGCGTAGATTGGCTATAGTTAGACATGAACACTGTTGGATGCCGACTCAGTAGTCTAGTGGTTAAGCGTTCGCGCGCCAGACTGATAGATCCTGGATTCCAATATTGCGAGGCAGGATCATGGGTGAGCACTGCAGAGGATTCTCACAATAGGACCAAACGGCCATCCAGTGCTTCCAGGTTTCCCATGGTGGTCTAGCTTCAATCGACTCATAACCTCAACTATTGAAAATATATAATTATTTAATATTACAATCAATTGTTAATCAATTTGGAAATGAAAAAAGATTTGTAACTGAGGTGGATGCATCCACTGGCGACCTGCGTGAATATCTGAGCTACCAGTTCCTCCCTACTATCTTGATATTTCAACAAATTATCTGTTTTCTTGTTTGTTTTAACAAATCATTATGCCTATTAGTATCAAAACCTATTCAGGTGTGTTTGTGAAATGTTTATAACCTTTCACTGTATAAGTTACAAAAATGTACAATCGAAGATCAGTCAGTCAGTCAGTAACAACGTAGAACTTCGTACGTACGTACATCAGTTTGAGTTGCCATACCACATTAACACAGAGATACCATTGTCGATTCAAATCCCGTAGTGGTAGAGGTAGTAAAAGTATAAGCAGTAATCGGAAAGATTAGGGTTTGGAGATGTTATTTAAAGAGTATAATCCAGTGAAATAAATTTGGAAAGAGGAAAAAAGGGACATGAAGAATTCAGAAGATTAGAATTTGAGAGAACACAGAGAGTGGATGCACCTGCGCCATTGCAAACGATTTTGAGCCATGTCATTCAGGGTCTCTAACCATCGGTTGCTATCATCTCGCGGTCCCCAACCAGGTAGTCTACACCTACCAACATGACTCAGTTCACTTGTCAGTGACTTCATGGACTTGTGCCATGTTTTGGTTTGGCCGCCCCTAGCTTTCTTCCAACCTACTCCTATACCACTGAACATAGCACGTCGAGGCAGTCGGTCGTTGGGCATACGTAACACGTGTCCCAGCCATCTCAACTGATGAAGTTTCACTACGTCATCAATTGATTTGCCATCCTTACCTAGTACCCGTTTTCTAACAACTGTGTTACTTAATCAATGGTCCCATGATATACGAGCAATGTTTCGAAGACACCTATGATCAAATACTAGTAGCCTACGGATATCCTCTACTCTTACCGGCCATGTTTCACTGCCATAAAGTAGGACGGAACGAACTGCTGCACAGTAAACACGTCCTTTGGTTGATAGACGGATATCTCGCCTACGCCATAAATGACGCAAGTTGGCAAAAGCTAGTCGAGCCTTCTGTATCCGTGCTGAGATTTCGCCACACACCAGACCACAAGGGCTGATCAGACTTCCAAGATAAGTGAAGCGGTCGACACACTCAACTACTTCACTCCCTATCACTAGTTCGGGTGTCGATGTAACCCAATCCTGGGAGTGTGACCGCAGAGCCCAAGGGACAACTGCTTGAGGCCGGTCGCGCACGGCCTTTTTGTGGAAGATTTTTGACGTGTTAGCTCCGTTCTTCAAAGGGCCTTACCGCCGGAGACGGAAATCCGTGAGGTAAGGTGAGGTGTGACATTTTTAGGGTCGACCTTTTCTAACCCCACCCCTCCTTGTGGGAAGGCAGCATCGCCGCAGATGCTGGATGTCCGAGGGAAACACCTTACTGCTGTCACACCCCTCTACAGTCAGCAGTACGACTTCGCCCTCAGACCTTGAGTTGCTGCTTTTAGTCTTACCGTTCACCAATCGACCTGCCTGGCATGGTAGAACCTGCAGGAACATATGTTCCAGCCAATATAGCTCGGTTGGGTCATCACGATAGGCAAGCCCGACCACCGCGTCAAGGTAGCAGCTTCGATCGGGACAATCGAAGATATCGTAATTACTGGCAATATTGACAGAAAAAGAATGAACATTATTCAGATACCCATTTCTGAAATTCTAACATCTAACTGTCGATCACTTAATACTTATCGTCAGGATGAATCAAGAATTAAGAAAAGGAAACTCGCTGAAATACTGCGATGAGAATTCTATATTGTACCGAAAATACGGTACTGAATAAAGCAAATTTAATAATAATAATAATAATAATAATAATAATAATAATAATAATAATAATAATAATAATAATAATAATAATAGTAATATCACAGATTGAAATCATGAGTCAATTGAGGGTTGAGAGCTCACTGAAGACAATGGTATACGGTGGAGCAACTTCGTGGATTGGTTGGAGTTAGACATTAACACCATTGGATGCCGGCTCAGTGATCTAGTTGGTTAAGCGCTTGGCGCGAGACTGATAGGTCCTGGATTCGAATCTCGTGGAGTGCGGAATCGTGGATGCGCACTGCTGAGAAGTCACATACTACGACGAAACGGCCGTCCAGTGCTTTCATGTTTTCCATAGTGGCCTAGCTTCCATTGACTCATGATTTCAATCTGTGGAATTTCTAAAATCTCCACAAACCCCTTCTGATAATAATAATAATAATAATAATAATAATAATAATAATGCTTTTGATTGTGTTATATACTCTAAGTTCAAATTAATTTAATCATGAAGCTTTCATCATCGATACAGACCTATCTGTTCATCAACGTATACGGAAAAGTGTCAATCAATCACGTAACTAAAGACCAATGAAACAAAAAAAGTGCTGAATGGGAGTATAGTGACAAAAACTCCCAAAACAACCATTCACAGATAAACTCATCAGAATAGGCTGAATAAGAGCTTGTTGGTTAATTAAAATAACTAGATTGTACCTGAAGTAAGCTCCGATAATGTTGTCTAGAAAGATAATGAAAAATTCACAATTATACTACTACCTAGCTCAGAGCAAGGAACCTCATGAAAATTTAAAAGGTAGACTCAATATTCAAGAATCCCATCACATTAAGCAATTCAAACATTTATTACGTACGACTACTCATCCCATCCAACTGTTCGGCATAAAAACCAGTTGGGAAGAAATACACAGGATGATTATATCAAGACATAATGATAGTTTGTGAAGTAATTGATTATTTCAATAGCTGAGATCGTGAGTCCATTCAAACTAGATCATCATGGAAAACCTAGAAGCACTGGACGACTGTCTCGTCATATTGTAAGACTCCTCAGCAGTGTGCACCCACGACCCCGCATCGCGAAATTTGAAACCAGGACCCGCCAGTCTCACGCGCGAGCGCTTAACCACAAGACCACTGAGCCGGTCGGCTTCCAACGTGGTAATGTCTAACTTTAACTAGTCCACAAAGTTGAGACACCCATGGTTGAGCGCTCGTGCGCAAGACTGATAGGTCCTAGATTCGAATCTCGCGAGGCGGGATCGTGGGTGCACACTGCTGAAGAGTCCCACGGTAGGATGAGACGGCGGTCCAATGCTTCTAGGTTTTCCATAGTGGTCTAGCTTCCATTGACTCATGATCTCAACAATTAAAATTACTATAATATCCACAAAACCCCTCCCTCTATTAATTGATTATTCTTAGACGATTTCTTCTCATCTCTTTTACATATGGAAAATAATCCACTACCATTATAAAGCTTTTTAGTTGTTTTCTCTTCATATACGTTTGGTTTCAATTTTGCTGTACTAAACCAACACACGCATTTATTACAGGTTTTAGCTTGTTTAAGTCAGTCCGTCAGTAAGTCAGCATTCACATAATCAAAATAACTGTAAAAATAAAACAATGTCTAAGGCGTTTGAAATATCGATGACATAGATTGGTAAAATTTAGTGATATATCAATGCATAGATGTTAGATGATTGAAGATAATCAGAGGGAGACTCTGAGGTTAGATTTCATGCTAATTGACACTTAGTGCCAAAGCGTACCTGCGGTGTTGTACATATATAAACGAAGTTATGAAACAGACGAATTACAAGCAAAAAGAGATTTCACAATATACACCTACCTACCTGGTCTAAGGTTGATTAATGCACATAAACACTGACATAAGTACAATTGCTTAGACATAACCTCTTGAAGATTATACTGACTAGATACATCGAAACCCTGAAGCAAAAAAGAAGAAACAATGATCTTACAGGTTATTTCAGACTGGACGAGTAATATAAGCAATGCTTATTCATTTTGTATTTTCTTGAGGCATAAAAAGTTTACTTGCAAAGTCTAGTTTAACCTCTTGTATGTCGTTGCTATAGTTGACGTTTCATCGAGCAATAGTTGTTCATTCTAACTAGTTACGTTAGGTCCACTTTGTAAAAGTGGGATAGAATCGGTATTCTTAGCAGCAGACAATTCACAACACTTGTTGATGTGAAAATTTTTATTTTATATGAACTATGGAGAGCAAATATTCAGATTACATGGGACGAATATCTGCAATTGCAATGTGACAATAACTGTATTCACACTAAAGTAGGCAATAGAGCATCTTCGTATCTTCGATGCGTAATCTTTCCTATTAACACTGATACCTGTTACAATCTCTGTTATTGTGGGATTTTGTCTGACAACTTCATTTCTCTGTGCTAATGGAGTATGATAACTTGAACCGATATACATATGTACAGGTTCTCCGTTGTGACTGATTGATCACTTGAAATATGAAATGAAGTCACACAGAGTAAATTACATAATGATTACAAGAACTAACTCATTTGCCAAGTATAATTTCATGAATTCAGCCTTAAATTACCCATCCCTGTTTGAAGGCTATTGGTATTACATTCCTAACTAAATCAAAATGGGGCTCAAACCTAAGATCTACGACTAGTGATTGGAAGCCTTCACCAAAAAAGTAACTCCACATGTAATAATAAACTGGAATGTTGACTAATGGTTTCGTGAGTAAGACTATAATCTTAGATTCTGTTAATTACTGGGAAAGATAAATCATACAAACTTTCTAAAATGTAGTAAATCCCATGCACCAAGTTTAAAACTTTCTCTTTTGAGAAAATTCCAATGTCAAACTAAAAAGTTAGGTAGTAAACAGATAAACATATAAGAAAACTTTTTGAACAAGATTTGAAATACACTATCGTCATCACAAAGGAATTTATCACTGAACTAACTCCATCTGCCATTAGAATATGTACACCAGCATTATTTGTACTACGACCAATAAGTGATGCGAATGACGCTAAATTCGACCATTTTGTAACATCCCCATCACGTCCTGGTCCATAATGTGCCATAAAAGCTTCTTTTGGACCAGCCAAGAAATCATTTTCACGAAAATCACAATGACCGGTTAATGTTAAACCAAATCCTTTAGCAGACAGTAATGGTTGTTGTTTCTCTGAAGTAGTACTAGTATTATTAGTAGGACTGTTATGATTGACAGATTCAGTAGTATCATCTAGTAGTTTATCATTGATATTGGAATGATGATTAGGACTGAGTGTATTGTTAAGCCGTTTCGATTCACTTGATGAGTGAATATGATATGGAGCATTACATCGTCGCCATAAAGTATATTCTGAGAAACCTCCAGGACCAGCACATATATCAGCAAAATATAATACATCCTGTGTAAAATGGAAAGAATGACGATAAGAGAAAATTCATAATTTACAGTAAATATTTGTCGTGTTCAACGTGCAATTTAAAGATAATTAAAGGGGAGAAGTGCAATACTAACAAAATTATAGTTTGTTTTATGGAACTTACTGAATTCTAATTGCCCCCAAATACCCTTGAATCGCGTTAGTCAATAACGGAATTAAATAAGTCGAATAACGAGAATTGCCCTGGTACGGCCGAGATGCTCTCACACAACCACGCCCATACAGCCTCTGCTAGGGAAGTCCTACTCATTGCCTTCTCACACTACGGGTGTTGTTTACGAAATTGAGAGGACGAAAAGCGAATGTCCGGCACTTTAACCGGGTTCGTGGACACGGAGAGTCCACCTATGGGAGTTGGAAAACCCTCATTCCACACCAATGGCGCACATGGGCTCCAGCATCCTGAAGGAACAAATGGCGTATGAACCAATCGTTAGTCACCGGCTACCATGGGACTGCATCTCCTTACGATGCTCCACTGCCTTGTGGATCAGACCTTCAGGTCGAAGGCTCGGGGTGTGGCCCCCTAAGAAAACCACCTGCTTCGGCCTGGGCACCTGGGCAGTAACAGCCCACACACAAATAAAATAAAAATGACGATATTTACTGAAAATTCTATTTACGCTTCGACATTCATACTTTGTTAATATAACATATTCACTGTTATATCCTAGTTACTCGTAATTTAATCTTCACTGGGATATAACATTCACCAAAGTTGTACTTATGATATAAAACTAGAACACATTCGTTTATTATTTGACAACTACCTAAATAAGTGATTAATTTGAAATAGGGAGACACTTTAATTGTATGTACTAGGTCGAACCACATTTGTTGAGAAAAAACATTACGTCTCAGTGTTTCACATTTCTCAAAGGCAATCAGTTGACAAAAGACACTGTCAGATAGTATCATCTGCTGAGGTCTGATCTTTATCTAATCGAATTTAGGTGGAATTTTGTTTTCTGAGCTGAAGTTTGTGCTGATGATGTCGTTCAGAAGAAAGCTGCACGACCAAACCATCCAGCTCAGAGAAAAAAATAAACCTAAATCACCCACCTAAGCTACAATTCTTCGCCATCTCAAAAAAGGTCGAATTCTATACTACTACACTGGTTGCACATGGTAGCTAGCGAACAGAGCGTGCCAGTTTCTACATTGATTCAACGATTTTTTGTTGTTGTTGAAAATATGGTTTATGATAAGTGTTGTTGCAAAAAGATTACACGCATTACATTAGAATAAATGTACTTCCTTGTATTCAGTGAATAACAATTAAAAAAAGGTATAGGATGGAGAAAAGGTTTTTATAAAACTACTTTACTGATTTTAACTAGAGCAATGTTCTTTCAGAACAGCTGAAAGATTATCTTCAACATGTATGATAAAAATGTTTAAAGGGCAAAAATAAGTAATAGGATTAGATTCCAAATACAAACTCGTACTTTCCAGTGCTTTTCAACACGTTCTGTGGTATTTGCAAATGGGTGAGCACTCAAATTAGGAAGAACAAAGTGGAAACACTTGTAAGTATATTATATTTTTAACTAAAATTTGGGGCGTGTTAGTGAATAATATAATTCCGAGGGAAATTTGAATATGGCATTTCCAGATAAGCCATTATGGAACTCTCAAAGTACTATAAAATCATGTGAAAAGTTTGTTCGACAGTTCGTTTCATAATTCTGTTGTTAACACTGAGTACCAAACCTATCATTTTAGTCGACAAGTTAACGTTATTAGATTACAATGCTATAATCAAGTTTGAAAAAGTTTTTATTTCGAATGTGACTGGTCATAAACTCCCTATTCTCGAATGTTGTAACTTGCTGACCAAAGATGATAACTGTTAAATTATAACCTATGAATTTTTGGTTGCTGATTACGGACTATTTATCCTGGGGCTAGAGAATTTAAGAATGCCTCAAGTATAACTCTTCCTACTGATCAATTTAGATAGTTCTGATAAAGTGTTTGATAACGTGTTGACTACAAAAGTGAAGTGCGAAGATTTAAGATAATTGAAGTGAGTATTCCTTATGCATCTCTTGTTTTAATATAATGGGAATTTTTTCTGTGGTTACATAAAGCCCGACATTTGCATAAACTGTGTGCTAGCTAATAATCTCTTTGTTTATTAATACGCCCCAAACCCAAGTTAAAAACATAATATACTTACAAGTGTGTCCACTGTGTTATTCCTAATTTGAGCGCTGGTCCATTTGAGACTACCAGAGTATTTGTTGAACAGTACTGGAAATTACGAGTTAATATTGCTAAATATTGATGATCTGCAATTTTACCCTCATCTGATTTTCAGCTAGCCGATAAATAACTTTACACATCCATTGTATTTCATATGTATATAGTAGGTTTAATTTCGTGATTTATATATCCACAGTGTTTAGCTATTCTTTTGTCCCCAAACATTTACATTAGGCCAGATATTAGGGATCCGTCTGGTGGAAAAAGTAACCACTTCAATTATTTTAATGAAAAATTTCTTTGATCGTTTCATTATAAAAGGGACAGAATGAAACATTAAACGATTTTGACAGTTCGATCAAGTATATACGGTGATACAGGATATAGATAAGCCCAAAACACATTACAATACTAGTTCGTTTAAATCAAACAATTCAGTTGAAGTTGAAGAAAGTCATAATTACCGTTACAACAATATACTTATCAGATAACCAGTTAAATAACTTTGTACTCTTCTAACTTTAAAGAACATGTGATTATATAATACATGAACATGCTGGGGTCTGCTGGGATCACCGGGTAGGTAATAGTGAGGTTAGACGCAGGGTATTAGGGAATGATGGTAAATCAGTTGATGAGGTTATGAATCTTCATCGACTGAGATGGTTGGGCCACGTGTTACGTATGCCTGAACACCGATTACCACGACGTGCAATGCTATCCAGTATTGGAAATGGTTGGAAGAAAGTTAGGGGCGGCCAAACCAAAACGTGGCATCAGTGCTTGAAGTCACTAACTTCTAGTCTGAGCCATGTTGGTAGATGCAGACTACTTGGTTGGGGTCCGCGTGACTATCGTAACCAATGGTTGGAGACTCTTGGTGACATGGCTCAGAATCGATCACAATGGCGTCGGTGTATACACTCCCTGTCTTCCCTTAAACTAAGAGATTAAAGTCACTTCATATCTTTCTTTCTACGAACCAATTCTTTCTTCTTGTACTATATCTCTATATGCAATCTTTCTCTTATATATTACCACCTTTGACCTAACCACTGCTATGAATCCGGTGTTCATCTTGTTGTGCTGATGCGGTATGGCAACCTGGATCGATGCACATATGTGCCTGGTCCTACGTTGTAGCTGACTGACTGACTGACAAGGTAAACCCATAAATACTAAATCTTACCATATACAAAACTAAGACATTTATCATACAAGATTGAGTAGTAGGAGGTTTATGTTTAATTTAATTCACAAATGAAAAATGATATGATAAACAAGTTAATGAAAATATCAGATGGGTTTTTGTGGAGATTGTAGTAATTTCAATGGTTAAGATCATGAGTCAATTGAAGCTAGATCACCATGGAAAACCTGGAAGCACTGGACGGCCAGTGCTTCCAAGTTAATGAAAGTCAAACAGAAGCTTATATATGAGTTCACGATAAAAATAAATGCACATATATATAAACTGAAGCTACAGAAAACAACCTCCAAATAATCACATTGTCACTTATTCTTTCCACCTAACCATTCCCAATGTGAGAAGAATTATTTGAAGAAATATAACAGTGAAATAAACATGAACGCTTTTCTTTCATTTAACTTTTAAAAAAACGCACTTACATCTTTTGGAGCAGCAGTTGTGAACATTCCATTAAAGATTGAATCAATGTTGGCCATTTTCATTGCAGCTCTAAAAGATTAATAATAGTGATAAGAATAACAATAATGATAATAATAAGTGTATATAATACCTAAATCTTAAGTACAGGAGAGAATACCTGTTCCATGATAACCGAATAGTTGAAATGATTCATTTTTTACTTCAACTTTTAAATGGTCAAATTCCATAATATTTCAATAATTCTCATTATTGCAAATGATTACAATGAAAACTGTTTAAGCTTAATCAATCAAATACCACTACAGAATATAGGAAATGTGGCTAGGATTAGAAATTAAGAAACCATTACAAACTGAATTAGATATCATTACTGTTGGAATGGATATCATTATTTATGAGAAGTATATAAATGTGTTGAAATGATTGAGGTGATTAACTAGTCATAATCAATACATAAAACTTGGCATAAATATGGGTTAGTCTAAGTTGCTACACTATATCAACCTGATGAGATTAAATTAACACAAGTTTAAAATGGTATAATATGTAGCATCAATGCTGTAAAAAAATATTGATGAAGTCAACAATTGTCATTTCAAATTTGACAGTTGATTGTCATCATTATTCTGTTGTTCAGCTTGGATTATTCGATGGAAAGGCGTAGAACCAATGAAGTATGTACATAAATGACTAGTGATTCTTACGCCTCCAAACGCCATGGTACGGTACAGTTAAGGATGGGGAGGGTCAAATGCTCTCACATGGACATACGTATACAGCAACTGACAATGATTTCCTACTCACTGCCTTCTCGAGGCGAGGGTGTTGTTTACGAATTCGAGAGGACGATAAACGAATATCCGGTGCTTTAACCACGTTGGTGTTCGTGGATACGGAGGATACACTTAGAGGAGTTTGAAAACCCTAAATTCAAACCAATTGTGCACATGGACTCCAGGATCTTAAGGAAACAAATGGCGTATGAACCCAATGATGTTCACCGGCTAACATGAGATTGCATCTCCTAACGTTGCTTCACTGCCTTGTGGATTAGACCTCTAGATCAAAAGCTCGGGGAGTGATCTTTTAAGAAAACCACCTGCTTCGGCCTGGGAACCCGTGCAATATCCTGGCCCTCACACAAATCAAATGACGAAGTGTTTCGCATATGTATTTGGTGCCTTTTTGTACCAAAACTTATGTGTTTAAGTAAATAAATAAATAATCATTCTAATATCTATGTTATTCCACCTATAACTGTGTCACTATTTATACGATGTGTACTCGATTGATTATATATTTACTATGGATCTTTGCACTGGGATTTTTGGAAATTAACCGTCAACTAACAAATCATAATAATATTGATTATGAAATGACAAATAAGAAAACTAATACATCATCATATTTACCTGTTCATAAAAATCCCCTTCTTTATCAATTCATATGGATTACAACGTTCATGACTTTTAGTGACATTCAATTTTGATAAATAATCCAACTGATTCTATATACAAGTAAGAAGACGAATAAGAAAGATGATTAGATTATCATCCTAAATGTAATACAAAGACAAAATAGGAAAAAAAAGATGTGCAGCCAAGTTAGACACAGTTTATGTAATCAAATGTCAGTTGCTGGATTTTGAATACGATTTTAACAACACCCTATAATAACTAACATGTGCTTACCAAGGACTAACTTTGAAATGTGATTCACGGAGTTATAGTGAGTTGTGACTAATAGAGTTCGAGTATGTCGGGGGTGAAATAAGTATCATCACTGACAATGAATGACTGTTGCGAAATATTACGAGTTATTTTGGAATTAGACATGTTGGCCACTGGATATCGACTCAGTAATCTAAAGGTTAAGTACTCGTAGTTAAACCTGAAGGTTCTGAGTTCTATCCTTAATGGCGGACTCATGAATACTCACTACTAAGTAATCCCACAGTGGGATTAGACAGTTATCCAGAGCTTCCTTATTTCCAATGATTGTTTAACCGAAATCATTCCGCGATGTTAAATTTCAAATACAAACGAACCAACTCAAATCCGTAGAAAAGAACAAGATAATTCACTCAATTCTGAAATATCACCAGTAACCTAACCAGGGTTCGGTTACCGATATCCATTCAAGAGAGTGGGAGTCGTAACGCAATCACTCAGAAGAAATTAACTCAGATAATAAAATGTATTACTATTGAAACTCGAGATTCAGAAGTGAACAAAGAATAAATGCACTTGAACCCCCTGAGATCAATTTTAAACCACATTATCATTGATTACGATTGAGATGACGCCAACCAGAAGGTCTATACATCAACGCGGGGATTACTGAGACAGAATATTCTTGGACTTATCCCACTTTCCCGTTTGAATGCCCCCAATTTTCTCAAAACCTAGTTTTATACTAGTACTGGACATACAGTAAACTAAATGGACGATTAAAAATGTGTGTAAATGTCTCGAAAATAAACTAACAATCAAATATTCTACTATTTTTTAGAAAACATATATAATTATGTAAACTAGTTGAGAAACGTCAGCGAACCTTATAATTTAAAACTTCTTGAACAAGATTAATCGAGCAGAATTTATCTTCATTATCCAACTCTTCAATAGGTGGACCTAAAGCCTCCGGTTCATCGGGACTGATGATTAGAGAATTCAATTCCAATAAGGAATGAGTAGAACGTCCGCCTTCCATTGACCATGACCACGTACGATCTCCATCAGCTGTAGTATAATCATCATCGCAGCCTTCATGCCAGACTAAATTTGGATTGGAAGATTGATAGAGTTCGCCTGAGAATGATTCAATCTTTTTATCAGATGACGATGTTGTTCTTACTGAACCGAGACCACTTCTGCCTTTTTGTTTACTCATCGCAACCGGTTCAACTACACCGTGAGCATTAATACCCAATCCTTGACCATGTTCATAACCCATCTTTCGCTATTGACCCAAAAAAAGATTTTAAACAAGAGAAATTGTAGTAGGAAAGTTAAGCATTTATTTCTGTAATTTAAGTGAGTATATGAGCAGATTTTTTAATTAATTTACGATAAACAACAGTACCACTATAAGCATACATTTCATTTATTTTCAAACTTAACCCTTCTAAATATATAAATATCATTTTCTATTTATTAAGCTTGTCGTTTACCGTAATGTTGTAAGAGCGTAATACCGGCTAGTTAATTGTATGTTCTCTTATATTTAGAGGATTATCATATTTGAATAAGTGGTAATCAGTCATCTATCTTTATTTCATTTGTATACACATATCTAATGCTTTAAATCTTGTATTTCACGCATATAATTTAACTTAAATTAATTTGAGAAGTTTTGTCAAAGCGTCAGTGCTGCTTAATCTCACATGGGACACACACTCAATAACCAGACAGTCTGATCAACTAGATTTGAACCGAAATAAGTTATTTTTGGGGTAATATAATAAGTAGAGGCATATATTACAGTAGAGATGTACTAGATATTTCTTTATTCGCTGACCAATCAGGTCACTTCGGATTGACATATCAACTACATAAATAACACTATGTTAAAGCTCACGACGTTACTCGACCGATTCGAAGCTATTACCTATTGTTTGAAAGTTAAATATTCTTCGAACACTAAACTCCTTCACTAGATAACTTATAGTATTCTAATAATACTGAAACTCTCTAAAAAAAAGCATTACGTAGCCCACAGGGCACTTCAATATTTAAGAATGATGACAAAAACGTCCCGAATAAGTACGTCTTCAGCTAGAACTTACCATAATTTTCCAAGCTACATCGTCAAGTGGATCAGATAGCTGTAAAAAAAATAGACAAGATAAAACCTATTGAATGGCATGCTTTCAATTTAAATCTTTTTGTGCAATGAATATAATTTTATTTAGAATGTATTTTGCCTAACGATTGTCCGTCAGTTAGTTATAAGAGACAAAAGAATATGCATCAAGTAGACATCGACCCACAGTGATATTCACATCAGTACAGCGAAATGAACTTATTATTATTATTATTATTATTATTATTATTATTATTATTATTATTATTAGTAGTAGTAGTAGTAGTAGTAGTAGTAGTAGTAGTAGTAGTAGTAGTAGTAGTAGTAGTAGTAGTAGTAGTAGTAGTAGTAGTAGTAGTAGTAGTAGTAGTAGTAGTAGTAGTAGTAGTAGTAGTAGTAGTAGTAGTAGTAGTAGTAGTAGTAGTAGTAGTAGTAGTAGTAGTAGTAGTAGTAGTAGTAGTAGTAGTAGTAGTAGTAGTAGTAGTAGTAGTAGTAGTAGTAGTAGTAGTAGTAGTAGTAGTAGTAGTAGTAGTAGTAGTAGTAGTAGTAGTAGTAGTAGTAGTAGTAGTAGTAGTAGTAGTAGTAGTAGTAGTAGTAGTAGTAGTAGTAGTAGTAGTAGTAGTAGTAGTAGTAGTAGTAGTAGTAGTAGTAGTAGTAGTAGTAGTAGTAGTAGTAGTAGTAGTAGTAGTAGTAGTAGTAGTAGTAGTAGTAGTAGTAGTAGTAGTAGTAGTAGTAGTAGTAGTAGTAGTAGTAGTAGTAGTAGTAGTAGTAGTAGTAGTAGTAGTAGTAGTAGTAGTAGTAGTAGTAGTAGTAGTAGTAGTAGTAGTAGTAGTAGTAGTAGTAGTAGTAGTAGTAGTAGTAGTAGTAGTAGTAGTAGTAGTAGTAGTAGTAGTAGTAGTAGTAGTAGTAGTAGTAGTAGTAGTAGTAGTAGTAGTAGTAGTAGTAGTAGTAGTAGTAGTAGTAGTAGTAGTAGTAGTAGTAGTAGTAGTAGTAGTAGTAGTAGTAGTAGTAGTAGTAGTAGTAGTAGTAGTAGTAGTAGTAGTAGTAGTAGTAGTAGTAGTAGTAGTAGTAGTAGTAGTAGTAGTAGTAGTAGTAGTAGTAGTAGTAGTAGTAGTAGTAGTAGTAGTAGTAGTAGTAGTAGTAGTAGTAGTAGTAGTAGTAGTAGTAGTAGTAGTAGTAGTAGTAGTAGTAGTAGTAGTAGTAGTAGTAGTAGTAGTAGTAGTAGTAGTAGTAGTAGTAGTAGTAGTAGTAGTAGTAGTAGTAGTAGTAGTAGTAGTAGTAGTAGTAGTAGTAGTAGTAGTAGTAGTAGTAGTAGTAGTAGTAGTAGTAGTAGTAGTAGTAGTAGTAGTAGTAGTAGTAGTAGTAGTAGTAGTAGTAGTAGTAGTAGTAGTAGTAGTAGTAGTAGTAGTAGTAGTAGTAGTAGTAGTAGTAGTAGTAGTAGTAGTAGTAGTAGTAGTAGTAGTAGTAGTAGTAGTAGTAGTAGTAGTAGTAGTAGTAGTAGTAGTAGTAGTAGTAGTAGTAGTAGTAGTAGTAGTAGTAGTAGTAGTAGTAGTAGTAGTAGTAGTAGTAGTAGTAGTAGTAGTAGTAGTAGTAGTAGTAGTAGTAGTAGTAGTAGTAGTAGTAGTAGTAGTAGTAGTAGTAGTAGTAGTAGTAGTAGTAGTAGTAGTAGTAGTAGTAGTAGTAGTAGTAGTAGTAGTAGTAGTAGTAGTAGTAGTAGTAGTAGTAGTAGTAGTAGTAGTAGTAGTAGTAGTAGTAGTAGTAGTAGTAGTAGTAGTAGTAGTAGTAGTAGTAGTAGTAGTAGTAGTAGTAGTAGTAGTAGTAGTAGTAGTAGTAGTAGTAGTAGTAGTAGTAGTAGTAGTAGTAGTAGTAGTAGTAGTAGTAGTAGTAGTAGTAGTAGTAGTAGTAGTAGTAGTAGTAGTAGTAGTAGTAGTAGTAGTAGTAGTAGTAGTAGTAGTAGTAGTAGTAGTAGTAGTAGTAGTAGTAGTAGTAGTAGTAGTAGTAGTAGTAGTAGTAGTAGTAGTAGTAGTAGTAGTAGTAGTAGTAGTAGTAGTAGTAGTAGTAGTAGTAGTAGTAGTAGTAGTAGTAGTAGTAGTAGTAGTAGTAGTAGTAGTAGTAGTAGTAGTAGTAGTAGTAGTAGTAGTAGTAGTAGTAGTAGTAGTAGTAGTAGTAGTAGTAGTAGTAGTAGTAGTAGTAGTAGTAGTAGTAGTAGTAGTAGTAGTAGTAGTAGTAGTAGTAGTAGTAGTAGTAGTAGTAGTAGTAGTAGTAGTAGTAGTAGTAGTAGTAGTAGTAGTAGTAGTAGTAGTAGTAGTAGTAGTAGTAGTAGTAGTAGTAGTAGTAGTAGTAGTAGTAGTAGTAGTAGTAGTAGTAGTAGTAGTAGTAGTAGTAGTAGTAGTAGTAGTAGTAGTAGTAGTAGTAGTAGTAGTAGTAGTAGTAGTAGTAGTAGTAGTAGTAGTAGTAGTAGTAGTAGTAGTAGTAGTAGTAGTAGTAGTAGTAGTAGTAGTAGTAGTAGTAGTAGTAGTAGTAGTAGTAGTAGTAGTAGTAGTAGTAGTAGTAGTAGTAGTAGTAGTAGTAGTAGTAGTAGTAGTAGTAGTAGTAGTAGTAGTAGTAGTAGTAGTAGTAGTAGTAGTAGTAGTAGTAGTAGTAGTAGTAGTAGTAGTAGTAGTAGTAGTAGTAGTAGTAGTAGTAGTAGTAGTAGTAGTAGTAGTAGTAGTAGTAGTAGTAGTAGTAGTAGTAGTAGTAGTAGTAGTAGTAGTAGTAGTAGTAGTAGTAGTAGTAGTAGTAGTAGTAGTAGTAGTAGTAGTAGTAGTAGTAGTAGTAGTAGTAGTAGTAGTAGTAGTAGTAGTAGTAGTAGTAGTAGTAGTAGTAGTAGTAGTAGTAGTAGTAGTAGTAGTAGTAGTAGTAGTAGTAGTAGTAGTAGTAGTAGTAGTAGTAGTAGTAGTAGTAGTAGTAGTAGTAGTAGTAGTAGTAGTAGTAGTAGTAGTAGTAGTAGTAGTAGTAGTAGTAGTAGTAGTAGTAGTAGTAGTAGTAGTAGTAGTAGTAGTAGTAGTAGTAGTAGTAGTAGTAGTAGTAGTAGTAGTAGTAGTAGTAGTAGTAGTAGTAGTAGTAGTAGTAGTAGTAGTAGTAGTAGTAGTAGTAGTAGTAGTAGTAGTAGTAGTAGTAGTAGTAGTAGTAGTAGTAGTAGTAGTAGTAGTAGTAGTAGTAGTAGTAGTAGTAGTAGTAGTAGTAGTAGTAGTAGTAGTAGTAGTAGTAGTAGTAGTAGTAGTAGTAGTAGTAGTAGTAGTAGTAGTAGTAGTAGTAGTAGTAGTAGTAGTAGTAGTAGTAGTAGTAGTAGTAGTAGTAGTAGTAGTAGTAGTAGTAGTAGTAGTAGTAGTAGTAGTAGTAGTAGTAGTAGTAGTAGTAGTAGTAGTAGTAGTAGTAGTATAGTAGTAGTAGTAGTAGTAGTAGTAGTAGTAGTAGTAGTAGTAGTAGTAGTAGTAGTAGTAGTAGTAGTAGTAGTAGTAGTAGTAGTAGTAGTAGTAGTAGTAGTAGTAGTAGTAGTAGTAGTAGTAGTAGTAGTAGTAGTAGTAGTAGTAGTAGTAGTAGTAGTAGTAGTAGTAGTAGTAGTAGTAGTAGTAGTAGTAGTAGTAGTAGTAGTAGTAGTAGTAGTAGTAGTAGTAGTAGTAGTAGTAGTAGTAGTAGTAGTAGTAGTAGTAGTAGTAGTAGTAGTAGTAGTAGTAGTAGTAGTAGTAGTAGTAGTAGTAGTAGTAGTAGTAGTAGTAGTAGTAGTAGTAGTAGTAGTAGTAGTAGTAGTAGTAGTAGTAGTAGTAGTAGTAGTAGTAGTAGTAGTAGTAGTAGTAGTAGTAGTAGTAGTAGTAGTAGTAGTAGTAGTAGTAGTAGTAGTAGTAGTAGTAGTAGTAGTAGTAGTAGTAGTAGTAGTAGTAGTAGTAGTAGTAGTAGTAGTAGTAGTAGTAGTAGTAGTAGTAGTAGTAGTAGTAGTAGTAGTAGTAGTAGTAGTAGTAGTAGTAGTAGTAGTAGTAGTAGTAGTAGTAGTAGTAGTAGTAGTAGTAGTAGTAGTAGTAGTAGTAGTAGTAGTAGTAGTAGTAGTAGTAGTAGTAGTAGTAGTAGTAGTAGTAGTAGTAGTAGTAGTAGTAGTAGTAGTAGTAGTAGTAGTAGTAGTAGTAGTAGTAGTAGTAGTAGTAGTAGTAGTAGTAGTAGTAGTAGTAGTAGTAGTAGTAGTAGTAGTAGTAGTAGTAGTAGTAGTAGTAGTAGTAGTAGTAGTAGTAGTAGTAGTAGTAGTAGTAGTAGTAGTAGTAGTAGTAGTAGTAGTAGTAGTAGTAGTAGTAGTAGTAGTAGTAGTAGTAGTAGTAGTAGTAGTAGTAGTAGTAGTAGTAGTAGTAGTAGTAGTAGTAGTAGTAGTAGTAGTAGTAGTAGTAGTAGTAGTAGTAGTAGTAGTAGTAGTAGTAGTAGTAGTAGTAGTAGTAGTAGTAGTAGTAGTAGTAGTAGTAGTAGTAGTAGTAGTAGTAGTAGTAGTAGTAGTAGTAGTAGTAGTAGTAGTAGTAGTAGTAGTAGTAGTAGTAGTAGTAGTAGTAGTAGTAGTAGTAGTAGTAGTAGTAGTAGTAGTAGTAGTAGTAGTAGTAGTAGTAGTAGTAGTAGTAGTAGTAGTAGTAGTAGTAGTAGTAGTAGTAGTAGTAGTAGTAGTAGTAGTAGTAGTAGTAGTAGTAGTAGTAGTAGTAGTAGTAGTAGTAGTAGTAGTAGTAGTAGTAGTAGTAGTAGTAGTAGTAGTAGTAGTAGTAGTAGTAGTAGTAGTAGTAGTAGTAGTAGTAGTAGTAGTAGTAGTAGTAGTAGTAGTAGTAGTAGTAGTAGTAGTAGTAGTAGTAGTAGTAGTAGTAGTAGTAGTAGTAGTAGTAGTAGTAGTAGTAGTAGTAGTAGTAGTAGTAGTAGTAGTAGTAGTAGTAGTAGTAGTAGTAGTAGTAGTAGTAGTAGTAGTAGTAGTAGTAGTAGTAGTAGTAGTAGTAGTAGTAGTAGTAGTAGTAGTAGTAGTAGTAGTAGTAGTAGTAGTAGTAGTAGTAGTAGTAGTAGTAGTAGTAGTAGTAGTAGTAGTAGTAGTAGTAGTAGTAGTAGTAGTAGTAGTAGTAGTAGTAGTAGTAGTAGTAGTAGTAGTAGTAGTAGTAGTAGTAGTAGTAGTAGTAGTAGTAGTAGTAGTAGTAGTAGTAGTAGTAGTAGTAGTAGTAGTAGTAGTAGTAGTAGTAGTAGTAGTAGTAGTAGTAGTAGTAGTAGTAGTAGTAGTAGTAGTAGTAGTAGTAGTAGTAGTAGTAGTAGTAGTAGTAGTAGTAGTAGTAGTAGTAGTAGTAGTAGTAGTAGTAGTAGTAGTAGTAGTAGTAGTAGTAGTAGTAGTAGTAGTAGTAGTAGTAGTAGTAGTAGTAGTAGTAGTAGTAGTAGTAGTAGTAGTAGTAGTAGTAGTAGTAGTAGTAGTAGTAGTAGTAGTAGTAGTAGTAGTAGTAGTAGTAGTAGTAGTAGTAGTAGTAGTAGTAGTAGTAGTAGTAGTAGTAGTAGTAGTAGTAGTAGTAGTAGTAGTAGTAGTAGTAGTAGTAGTAGTAGTAGTAGTAGTAGTAGTAGTAGTAGTAGTAGTAGTAGTAGTAGTAGTAGTAGTAGTAGTAGTAGTAGTAGTAGTAGTAGTAGTAGTAGTAGTAGTAGTAGTAGTAGTAGTAGTAGTAGTAGTAGTAGTAGTAGTAGTAGTAGTAGTAGTAGTAGTAGTAGTAGTAGTAGTAGTAGTAGTAGTAGTAGTAGTAGTAGTAGTAGTAGTAGTAGTAGTAGTAGAAGTAGTAGTAGTAGTATCAGAGGCAGTAAAAGACTAGATATAGAATGTAATTCGTGAATAAATTAGCGGAATGAAAAGTATAATATTGGGAAACTCAGGACTAAGAAGGTAAACAAATTAAATGGATCTGTGCCGCTGTAACAGACTTCTAACTGTTGCCAAAAGTCTCCAACTATTGGTCACCATAATCTTCCCCCAAACAATTGGTCTCAGCTATCAACATAAGACCAACAATTAACTTTATCAACTGACTCCCTTTCTCAGTTTAGCTTTTAGTAGTTTTTTAATAACTTATAATATCAACAAAATACATATCCTACTTAACTTCATACATCTTCGGTCGACTAAACATGTTAATGAGAAAGAAGGCATAAAAATTTGGATAACGATTAAATTTAGAAAATATATACTTCGTGCAAGTAAATGATTATTTTTTTTATTTGAACACATGAATATTGGTACAAGAGAGCGCCAATATATAAGCGCCACACAAAAACAATGAGAAGTCGAAGAGAAATAGAAGAAAAAAACCAAGGAGCGCAAAAGAAAAAGAGAACAATAACGAAGAGATTGGAGTAAGGTAGTGTGGTATTAACGAGAGAACGGAAAGGTACAATCAGAAGAAATCTTTCAGGTAAGGAAGACACAACCACTTTTTATGAAGAAAGTAAAAGAAGGTTACAGCAGGATCGCCACTGGCTTCTATTCTGAGCCATATCTGATAACGTCTCTAGCCACTGTGTAGCACCATCTCTCAGACCCCAAACCAGGGAGTCGTGAAGGACCAACACAAGCCAGTCCTTTGCAGCTTTCTTTCATACCACGAAGTAAATGATAGACGGTAGACAAACAATAAGTAATGCAGCCGACGTCTAACTCAACGTAGTTCAGTACGATAGACTTAGATAATATTAGGGTGACTCAGTTGTTACAAGTATTTGAAGATAAACACACGTACGTATCATAGTTTAGTCACCAAAATATGGAGAGTAGAATATGAACCTACGATTGGAACCAGATATTATTTGCTTAAAGATAGGTATGGATGTTCCACAACCATATAATGAATACATAGCTTAATGTAAAAAAAATAACTAAGCACTACATATTAAGACTATTTACCTTGTGTTTTTCAGCTTTTTTCACTGAACGTTCGTCAGACATCTATAATGCGAATAAGCATCTTAAGTTAATATACATTGTCAAGAAGAAAAGAACAAGTCTCTTGTTTTGTATTTATTTACATGTTTTGTACAGCTGGTAACAAAAAAGGAGTATTACAAGTAGGGCAAATCGGATTAAACTCACAAAATACAGACAAACATATCGAACAAACATAACCAATATCAATCAATCGTTTATGACAAAAGCATGCAGCTCGAAAGTCAACACCACTAGATCGACTATCTGGGAGTAAAAGAGACGTTCTCATTTTAGATGATGGCAAAAATACCGACAACAAGTACTGTAGTAATCCAGAAACTCTTGGTACTTGCAAGTAAATTCCACCAGTTAGATCTGCAGCCTGTTGAAGAAGACTTGAGTGTCCAAGAGAACTTAGCCCACATCTGCCATTTAAATTATCTGACTGTTGTGGTAACGATAACACACATGTGTCTATTGGAACATGGAGCTTTTGAGCTGTGAACACAGAATTCATCAACGCTAAGTATTGAGAAGAATTGTCATCAGACGCCTTAATAATCAGTATCCGAGAAGAAATCTTTTCACTCCCTTCGCTAAACTCCATAGTCATCTCTAAAGAGTCATTTAAATGTCTTGTAGATGGCTGCAATTCACGACACCGCCGAAGGTAATAACACAATGCTTTTATTATCGCACCAGCCAAAACAATTTGTGTGCTTGTAGAAGAACAGGAGGTCACAAGGTTTAATGCTAGTTGTCTGACAGTGTTATTCATACAGCTAAGTGCGTCATTCTGGCCATCATTTGAAGCACTAGTTGGAGGTTCCGATTCGTTTGGATAAATAAACTTTATTTCAGAAGGTGTAACTCCTATTACTGCTAACTCGTTATGTGGAGACAACATTAAATGACTATTTGCGAAACCAAGGGCTGCCTCAATGCAATTTGGCAAACTAAATTCACTTGTACAAGAACCCCATGAGGCGGGGGTCATGTCTAGTACCAACAATAATAGATTTCTTAATTCTGTTGACGACATTGTAGAGATCAAGCAGAGAAATCTAGGAAAATTTGGACAATGATATTCTCGAAATCTTCAGGGGAAACTGATGTTCTTTTGTTTTGCTTGGCAATAGCGATAGATCGAGTAAGGGTCTCTAAGAAATATGCAATTGATCCAGAAAGAACCTAACCTGATAAATAGAGTTCTACTAAGTGATCACAAAGGGAAGCTGCTTCGCTATTAACTAGAAGTAGGAATAAGCTCAAAAACGACATACTTTTTGTTTTCGGATCCACAAAAAATGATTTTAGAATTGACGTGGTGATTTGTTCCTAGTGGGTAAACACCGAGAAACCTAAACATACCATGAATTGTCCTATCAGCTGCTACAACACCATTGGATGACCGATCTCAGTTGAAATCTACAGGTTACTGAAACCTTGAATTTGATGTTAGAAAACAAACCACTATCCGTACCTTACATCTAGATGTAACGTCTTTGGGAAGAGCTAGTCAGTGAGTCCACCTTCGATTGTCAACTGGAATCCACATGCATCCAGATAGGCCACATGGCGCCAGGATCAAGCACAAAAGGAATCGGTAGCTGACCATATGGTTTCAAATTGAAAGCATAAACTGCTTATACATGAACGCCGCGAGTTTACCAAACAAAATGGATGAGCTACGTGAACTTGACAATGCTACAAATGCTCATCTGATTGGAATGTCTAAACCTTGGATATCATTTTAGGAGCTGTCAATATCTGGGATATCTTTGTTTCGCAACGACAGAAAAACAGGAATTGGGGGTGGAGTAGCCTTATACACAAGAACATGCCTGGAGGCACACCAAGTTCACAACCAAGAGTTTATCAGTCTTGATGAATCTGTAGCGGTAAATAAATCCCCAAAATAAATAGCACTAAGTTTTCGACATTGGATGCTGACCATATGTTTTAGTGGACTCACCTAGCTGAAGGCTCTCGGTCAGGCATCCGCACCAGATCACGTGTGGTAACGCCGTGCTCAACATCAAGCGCAATCGCTAGCCAGATTAGATCAGAGAATTCCGATATATTGGTCATCGCCAAATATACTCTTCCGATCTCCTCGACTCTGTCTTTTGATTTCTCTGGGTGGGAACGAAATATATTAGAGGGTGTTACTGGTAGAAGCGTTGTCAAACACTGAATACCTGTGACATCATCAAATCTGTATGGTGCTCAGTAAGATTGTCTACCACCTCTATGTGTCTCGTTGGATTCATCTAAAGGAGGTGAAACCTCAACTGAAGCTCGGTTCTTCAACCTCATTGAGGATCTGGGATTATTCGAAAATGTGAAGTCGGCAGCTCGTTGGAGAAACAGTTAGATACTGTCGCGCTTCGAGTGGGTATTTACAAACGAAGAATTCCTAGTTGACAACCTCTCAATCTTGGCCCCCCTGGGGAAAAGCGATCACTGTTATAGCTTTTAGCTTCGTCAGCAAAACTGAGCTAAGATGTCCCATCAACAACAGGCGCTGGAATTTCAAACGGTTGAATATGTCAGCTTTATAGGACTATCTGCAACAGGTGGATTGGGATGTTCACCCTCAACTTGATGTGGATTTTCATTTGGACTTCTTACTGCACACGTTCTTATGTGCTTCAAAGCATTCAGTTCCTCAAACGGTCCCCAAAAGCTACAAGCAACCTACAATCATCAAGAACCGCACTCTTCGCTCGCTAAGCCGCAAAAGGTACTGTTGGGCAGAATACAAACAAACTGACAACGGCGCGTACAGGCAATACAAACATATAAGGAACATATGCACCAAATCAATAAGAGAAGACAGGCTTCAGTATCAGATGAAGCTTATGGATAGATTTGTCTCCAATCCGAAAACCTTATTGCGCTATGCAACCTCTCTTCGACAAGCCAAAACTGTAGTTTCCCAACTGCTAGGTCCTATTGACCCGACCAATAACGACGGTGACACCGCTAAGCTTTTGGCTGAACAATACTTTCGGACATTTCAACCGACCCATATCAACTATACTGATGACAGCTTCATTTGCAACTTCACAGGACTTTCCAAAGTGAATCTGAGCGCTGACTTGGTGCTCCGGAAACTGCAACACCTAAGGATTGACACTTCTCCTGGCCCAGATATGGTTCATTCTGCTATATGAGGGAGGCAGCTTCAATCCTGGCAACACCGATCAGCGCGATGTTCTCACACTCGCTAAGCCGAGGCAAACTTCCGGAAACTTGGAAGTTGGCCCACATCACACCAATTTTCAAAGGAGGTCGACGCAGCGAACCTTCAATTTACCGACCGGTGGCTCTTCTCTCTATACCTTCAAAAATCATGGAATCCCTGATATGCGATGTAAGATATGACTATTTGATGTCCTTAAGTTTCTTCTTACCCCGACAGCATGATTTCAGGAAGGATTAATATTGTATGGCCAACCTGTTGAACGCGGTGGACATATGGACAAGCATCCTTGATAGTAAGGGGAAGGTTGATATTATTTACCTTGATTTCTCAAAAGCATTTGATAAGGTTAACAGTATGTGTCTTATCAATAAGCTCAAAGGATTGGGTGTCATACCACCTCTATTTGACTGGCTCATTTCATATCTAAAAAATCGACATTTTAAGGTCAGGGTTAACTTCAATTTATCTCAGGCTATGGAATGTCCTAGTTGTTTCCCTCAGGGCTCAGTACTAAGACCTCTTCTCTTCCTGATTTATATAAATGATCTCCCACAACAGGTGTCGTTAGACTTATTGCTTTTCGCTGATGACGTGAAACTTTGGAGAGAGATAAGCAACCATGACGATATACAGGCACTTCAGGAGAATCTGACGCGACTTCAAAGTTGGACAGGCGCTAACAGACCTTCCTTTAACACTTCAAAGTGTAAAGTAGTTCATTTGAAACATGTTGCAGACAACAGTCACAACTTAAGAAACTCCTCTCTAGTCCTGATGCCCTATAATTTGAAGTCGCACGCTAACTGTGACAGAAATGACTTTCGAGCAAACCTTTCACTGATAACATTGAAGCGCATTCTTGGACAGTTTGACGATAGAAGTTTCCACATAATTTTCAACAGTTTTATTCGTCCCCACTTAGAGTACGGAAACACAGTATTACCTCCCTCATTTCAAAAGGATAAGGACACTCTGGAGCGTATCCAACGGCGAGCCACCAAATCAGTTCAGGACTCAAATTTAAACATTATGAAGAGCGCCTCCCATCACTCAACCTTTACCCATAAGAGTATAGGCGTCGTAGATGTGACCTTCTGATGGCTTACAGAATCCCTAACACTTCTGGACATCCCCTTAAACACCTACATAAGTTTAGCTCCAACACAAACCTAAGGGGTAACACCCAGAAACTGTAGACACAATACAGCAGAACGGACTGTACACCCAACCTCTACTTCTTAAGAGTTGTCAAATGCTGGAATTCACTGCCGACTAAACTAGTCCAAGCGACTTCCCAGGAGTCCATTAAGAGGGAACTTGACCTATTCTTAAGGAGTAAGGATAACATCTCACCATGACTTACCGATTTTTTCTCCCTATTATCGTTGATATACCTAGATTCCCTCCTGGAGGTATTGGTGGCCCACCGCTACTAGACATAGAAGCCTGTTAAGCGAAAGTTTCTTCCATTCCGTCCACAACCATTGGAACCATTTGAACCGTCATTTTCTGACAAAAAAATTCTACGGATTTTATTTCAAGACGGTATCTCGTAGAAGCTGCATCAAGTTCAGTTACTTTTAAGCGGTTGTGGGGTATATAGAATCAATTTTGCCGTAATGATCTTTCATGTCCATACTTGGGTTTTCTCTCTCCACCACATAAAACTGTGAAATAACGATTAGTTCTGACATGCAAAGAAAGGATGAGGAGATTACTTATGAATTCTGATACTGGATTTCTCAAAGCTAAATTTTGATAGACTGAAGTCGTATCAAACTAACTGGGACACTAGTTGGAATCCATCTCC